CATAGGGCTAATGAATTTGATTTTTACTCTCAAGGAATTACAGTCTAATGTGGGAGACATTAGTAAAATGACAATTATTTGAAGTATCATAAGTGCTTTATGAAGATAAACCTTGGGGACCCGAGAAGCCCAGGAAAAACATTGCTGACTCTCACTGGGTGTGTGCTAGAGAGGATGGTTGAGAGGTACATTTTTAGAAAAAATTCAGCCTGAGCTGAATTCTGAAGGGCAGGTGAAGAATGGAGAGAGGTGTCATTGAGTGGAGTAAACATCTGGTGTGAAGGTCCAAAGGGGAAGGAGTATGTGCCTGAGTTTGAAGGGCTGGACAGCATCCATCATAAAGAATTCACCCTAACTGGAGTACTAGCATGGAACTGGAGGTTGAGAGAGTCCCCTCCTTCAGGATGGATTGTAGAAGAGAGATCTTAAGTGATCTTAACTGTTATACCAAGGATGTCACAATTCATTCTGCAGGCTGTGGGAAGTCACTGAAAGAGTATTCAGCAAGCAAGTTGCATAATCCCACTTAGGTCCACTGACAACTCTGGATAGTATGGGCACCAGGCAGGTGATGGGCTGGTAGACCCAAACAGGTGAGGACCAGAAAAGGTTCAGAACAGGGACAGAGAGGAAAGAAATTAGTTGATTTGATCAGGCAGACTAAAAAGGGGTGACTAAAGTTCTGAGGAGTCCCAGAAGAAATCATGTTACAAAAACCAAAGGTTTAAAGAGGGAGTCTTCATTAATCTTCATTAGTTCTGATCCTGCCAGGAGATCCAGTAAAATCACTAATAAAAAGTATCTGCTAACTTAAGAAAAGTCAGAGGTCAGGACAGCACTGCTGGATCTCTTTTTATTGTTGTTTATACTAAGAGGAGTTACAAGAGGGTTTTGGATCTGGTTCTGACCACAAAGCCCGTAAAAGATGAAGTCCATTTCATATCACAGCAACACCATGTAGAATCATTCTTCTTTTTGGATAAAATGTGGTCTTTTCCTTTGGATTAAAGAAACCAAACGAAGGATGCTTTTTTGAAATTAGGTCAACAGCAGTTTGTTTGTAGAAACTTATCCCGTCTCATGGAACTGATATCTTTTTTATTAACCATCACTTAGCCTGTCTTTTCCAAATTACTAATACTACCCCCAGGCCAGTAAAAACCAAATGTCAGTGTTTTGTGGCCCTGAAGTGTGTCACAAAGGTTACCATCCTTCCTGCAGGTGAAGAAACAGGACCATTAAGAGCTTCATTCTCTTCAGTTTACAGATGTCACTTTTGACAGAGTTCTGAATTGCAAGTTGGTTTTCCTTTGAATGGGAGAGAACTTTTCACTGTGTAAAAACAAAGATTGAAAGCAGTTTAAAGTTGGATTTTCACATTAGCATGTAGTAAGGTACACACATTTTGTTTGTCAGATTTGTCCATCCTAGTAGGCGGACTCCCAATAAGTGAGCCATCAGTGAGCTTATTACCTGAGGAGGTCTTAAAGACATGAAGCAACTTTATAAGGATGGAGACATTCGCGGCTGAGAAATGATAAAAAGCAGTAACAAGACAAACTACCGAGAAAGTTCTTTGAGAGACCAAGGAGCGCTGCTAGCACACTTGAGCTGGAAGGACCCTGACTTTCACCTGGTTTGGCCTGTCTCCAAACCAGCAGATGCTTCTGGAGCCCCTGTGTACCAAGCACCTCACTGAGGGCTCTTGGCGGGATGAAATAGAAGTTGCACTCCAGGCGCTCACCAGCCAGTGGGAGAGGAGAAATGTGTGCAGCAGTAACGACACCAGGCCAGTGAAGCCAGCCCTGTGACAGGGCCAGATTGAGCTCGAGAAGAGCCCTTGGGCACTCTGGGTGACTTTCTTAGGGAGGTATGTCTCACGATTTAGAAGATGAAGTTCAATAGCAAAATAAGAGGGAAGGATTTTGCAGGAGTGGGAAGAGCTCACCGACTCTCTGTAGTTGGGATAGGTGCCAGACTTCCGGAGGTGATGCTGCAAATGGGTGTGGCTTCGGCAGGGAGGAGAGTGATTTTGAAGGCTTGAAGGCTGAGGAGCTCCCTCTTAATTCTTTTTTTCAGAACAAAGAACCAGTGAGGCAGTGGATTGCTGTAGCTGATGTCCTAGATGGAGTAATATGTTGATATGATTAGAACTTGGTTTTCAGAAGTTTTGTGTTACAATGGAAAAGGAAGGGAAAGTGGGGAACTTCTGGAGGTGGCCACAGGTCAGCATGAGAGAAATGATCAGAGAAGACTCAGCATGCCTTTGAAATGTATGTTTTATTATAAAATATATAAAGTGCAAAAGTGTAGATTCATTTAGAGGAATAAGCTTAAAACTTACAGGAATAATTATCATTTAAATGTTTTGATATACTTCAGTGTTATCCTTAAGCATAGTAGCAGATTGAAATTTTAGTTCATGGTAAGATATAAAATGCCACTTTCCTTTACCTCTCTAAATGGTCTTTAATCCACAGCAAGCCCCTTGCCACAGGTGGAGGGAAATTGTCCTCACAGGCGCTCCCTTCATCTCTGGCGGTGGGATTGTGTCTGTATGGAGTATCTCTCAGTAGTTCCCTGCTTGGTGCCCTGAAGGTGGGTATGTGTTGCTGGGGAGCTGCTGTCCCCGGTAAAGCTCCAACTTTTACTCCAATCTGGTTAGTTTCACTTTCTCTGCTTAAAACACTCCTCTGTCTGCATTCCCTCTTTAGGACAGCTGAGCATGACCCTCCACAGAGTGCTATCACAACACTAATGTTGGACTCTTTTTCTGGGCTCGGTCAGATATGGGATTTTTATTTTGGTGGTGGGTTTTTTTGTTTGTTTGTTTAAAAATAACTTCCTCTGATAAGGTCATAAAATGAGTTATATTACTCTATGTAGTTTTGACTCCATTTTTCTGTGTCATATTTTTCATACTTTCAGATTATCCAGTGGATAGAAATGTAAAATTTTCTTGCACAGATTATGAAATATGCAATTGTGTGTATTTTAGGTTGATTTTGGAGATGGAATTGCTGAGTCAAAGAGCCTGGCTTCTGTTGTGTTACCACCAGCCACCCTGTATTAGTATTCCATCACTGTACCACCAGCTTAGCAGCTGGAAACAACACCCATTTCTTGGCTTACCGTTCTGTAGGTCAGAAGTCCAGACACTGCCTGACTGGTTCCTTTGTTTAGTGTCTCAGAGGCTGAAATGAAGGTGTTAGTCGACTCCATTCTCATCTGGAGATTGATGTGGTTAGACCTACCCCTGCCCCCCACCTGAACTTTTCCATCATCCCAAATAGTCTTTCTGTTCATTACACAACAATGGTCCTCATACCATCCACCTTGTCCTGGCAACCTGTAGTCCACTTTCTAAGAGTCCATGTACTGCACCTAAGTGGAATCATGCAATATTTTTCCTTTTGTGTGTGGTGTTTCACTTAGGGTGATGTTTTCAGAGTCCACCCATGTCATAGCCTGCATGCCATTGTGTGTATACAGCACATTTGGTTTAGCTGTCATCTGCTGGTGGACTTCAGCTTGTTTCAGGTCTCTCTCTTGAGGTCAACTGATGTGGGACCTTAATTATAGCAACCAAGTCCCTTGACAGCAGTGCCTAGAAAGTGTTTGGATAATGTGGAGAAAGTAAATACACTTAGGGCCAGAGTCATGAGGGTTGTATTAGGATTCTGCCTGACCTCTAGATTGTGTTATACCTGGCAGGAGGTTCCATCTTAACCTCTTTCAGACCATTAATCTATAAATTGCACAGAAGTGTTCTGGAAATAGCATCTCATTTCACTGCCTGCCTTTCCAGCTGGGCTTTTCTCTGCTCACGACTCCAGTGGAATGAAGGAGGCATAATAATCACTTTCAGCCTTCAGTGAGAGCATGCTGACTTCTTGTCCTCAGTGTTGCCTACGACATGTTTCTTGAGCGTGTACAAGTGTGGGGAGCCATTATTAAGACAAGTGAGAGGGAGGAAGCGAATTTCTGTTTACCATTTGTGATTTGTGAGTGTAGCAGAATGTGCAAAATGGATTGTGTCTTGCTAGTCTCTTGGAAAGAACCTAGAGCATATAACAACAAACAGCGGCTGCAGCTGCTTGAGATAGTACCGTGAGAATGCAGCAGGAGGTGAACTTGTCCAAGGCAGAGGATTTAGGACATGTTCAAAATCAGCCTGGTGCTTCAGCCTGAAGGCAAATTCATTTGATTTGTGCTCTCTTGGAAATTGGACACTGGCTTCTGAAAGATAGTGCTCCCTAGGAGTTTGATTCCCTTGGAAATAGAAACCAGAAAAGGTGCAAGGAATTTCAGATTACATGTGAGTTGAATACAGATCTAATCTTGGATTCAGCAAGGGAGGTGTTTGAATATTATCAATTGCATATAATTTGAAGGGAGAATTTCCTTCTTTGGAAAGGCATAGTGTATGTGTGATGTCCCAAATTGGGTTTTGTTTGGAAGGGACTCTTAGTAATTTTGAATTCTCCTAGCTGGTTAGATTCCCTAAGGACCTGAGGATTTCGTCTCCGCTGTTTAGAAGATGCTGGCTTGGGCTCTCCCTGGTGGTGCAAGGTGTTAAAGCGCAGCGCTATGAAACTATCCGCAGCCACTGAAGCACAAGTTCCATCCCTGGCCAGGGAGGTGACCCATATGGGTGGCAGACGCTGCTCCCCTCCACAGTGTATTTCAGTCAATCTGCCTGTTCTGTTTCTCATTCTGTCTCTGGTGAATCCTCTCACCCCTTGCACCTGTACTCCAGTTCTTGTATGCATAAATGATAAATCTTAAAGAAAAAAAAAGCTTAGCTTGATTGTCTGCAGCCATTGAAGGTAAATGTGAGATTTGGATGGGAATGAGAAGTGGGTAAAAGTATCCCCCACAGTGAATTAATGATACTTGTCAACTGGGCCAGGGGAGGACCAGAGCCATAGGTGACTGCCTGTCTTCTCCCGCTCCAGCTGGCTTTGTTTGTGGAACTGAATCTGTGTTCTTTCCCACAGGCGACTGCCATGTCTGTGGACTGTCTCGGGCAGCATGCAGTGCTTTCTGGGTAAGTGAGTTTGCAGAGTTTGTCTGCCATGATTTCTGGGAGTAAGTTGCAATTGAGAAGCTTCTGTGAAATTAGAATGTGCTCATATTTAAGGAATATGATTGTAGTTTTTAGTTCTGAGAGTCTAGTGACCTCAGAGGTACATGTAAGGGTTACTTATGGTTTTGTTTTTATCTTGCAAGTAAGCAATGCAATTCTTTGCAGATTTTAGTGACTGGTGAATTAGACTTGAAATAGTAACTTTCTATGTCTACTGCAGAGTCTTTAGAAGGATGCTGTCTGGTACCATCTAGTGGAGTTACTGGGACTGAAGGGGTCTGGGTTTTCCTTTGGCTGTGCTACTCATTATGAGTCCTGTGCATTTTTATTTTCTCAGGAAGGAATTTGATTTCATCATAAAGAAACTGAACTACCTAATTTCTATAGTGTCTTCTGGCTCAAAAATGTTAAGATTTTAGTCATCAAAGGATCGTTGCTGCTTCATTTGCTAATAACTCTAATTTTGTACCAACAAGGCAAAAACCACATCCCCCCTTCTGTTTCATATGCACATGTATTCTGCCTTTATCTCTCAAATTCTGTGGCATTTTCTTCAGCTTAGTTACTAATGAGACTACACATAAAAGATCTTCTTGGGCCTCCATGGTGGCCTAGGGGTTAAGATTCAGCCCTACCACCCCTGCAGCCTGAAATTGATCCCCGGCCAGGGAGCTAACACACATATGGGCAACAGACCTCTCCTGTCTCCTCCCACTGCTTCTCTCAGCAGTGTATTTTAGTAAATCTGCCTGCTCTGCTCCCCACTTTGTCTCTGGTGAATCCTCTTACACTCCACTCCTGGCCTACCCACTAATTCTACTATGAAAAAATTGTTTTTTCTAGTAGCTTAATTTTTTTTGCCTTAATATAATGTTTTATCTTAAAAATAAAACATGTGGCAGACATTTAAATAATTAGAAGGATATACAATGGAAAGTAAGTTTTCCTCCTCTTTCTGACATCTCTTCCCCAGAGACAATTATGGACACCATTTTTGTGAGTGTGTCACACTGAATGCATAGATAAGGAAAACTGGTGTGTCTCATTTCTGTCCTGTTTTTCTTTAAACAGTTTTAATATACATACTGTAAGCATAGAGTTCAATGGTCTTTGGTATGTTAAAGTATTTATTTCCTATTCAGTTTCCCAGCAGTTTTTTTTTTTTTTTTAAGGACTTATTTACTTATGTACAGAAGAACTGGGATACAGGCCAGAGGGAAAAAATAGGCAGATGTATTGAAATACACTGCTGAGGGGAACAGCAGGAAGCTCAGGACAGATCTGTTGCACCATATGGGTCACTTCCCTCATTGGGAATCGAACTCGTGCTGCAGGGGCAGGTTCATAGAGCTGCCCTTTCACATATTGTACCACTGGGGGAGCCCACCAAGCAGTTTGTGAAAATTAAAGAGATACTTATCTATGTAAAGTTGAGAAACTCCAGTTGCATTATACAATCAGACAGCAGAAGCTGACCTTACCTTTTCCCTTGTTCCCACTCACCAGAAGTGACTACTTGAAATTCGTTTGACTGTTATTTTTGAATTTCCTCCATTTTTCTAGACAATGTAGGTATACTTTTTTTTTATCTTAATTTATGCATCATAGACTTTACAGATTAACCTCTTACAACACAATATATGTTGAAGACTTGGTTCTCTTTCTTTGCTTGTGGCCCTGTATATACATCCATGGCCTCCCCCATCTTCTAGTATAGTTATAGAACAGTCGTTGGATTGAATCAATATTTGGGATTCTTTTTTCCAGAGTTGTTATTGAGAAGTCTTTCACCACACTGAGTTTGGACTTTGTTCGTGACCTATTTTTCTCTTTGGAAACTTGAAAAATCCTATCTTGGTGTCTGGTGTTCTCTTTATCTCTAGCGTGTATGAAGTTTTTGTTGTGAGTGCTTTGGTGTGTGTCTTTTTTTCATTCATTATGCTGTGCACTTAGAGGGCCCTCTTTCTTTTCCCACTACTACTTGTTTTATTTACACAGATATCATACACTTGGCATCACATGACCATGTTTATCCATAAAATATTGTAGGTTTCCTGTGCTGACTGATGTTTGTGGGGTCTCTCTCATGAAGAGCGACTAGAGTCTGTGTTTACAGGGGGGTGGTGGGTGTCACCCTGTGGGATCAGGGGAGAAACAGGCCTTCTTTTTGAAGTATCCCCCATTGTTAGTAATTCCACAGTTCTGTTGGAATTTGTTAGCTTTTGCTGTCTCTTGGGCTGGTCATTTCTTCCTGAGAAGAATCCCCCGTCACTGCTCACAGTCTGAAGAATAAAGGTGCAGTGTTATGTATGGGTACTCACTATCACTAGGTAGAGTGGCCTGAGGCTCTCATGGTCTGCTCCCTGGCCAGTTCTGGGCATACGTCTTCACACTGTGCCCCTCATCCTAGTCTTAGGCTTCTCTGCAGTGGTTCCTTCTCCCCTTGCTGCAGATGGTGCCTCTAGCCCAGGGCCCCCCCATCTGCAGTGTGAATCAGCTCACTTCTTGTTCACTTCCCCTCTGCAGGCACTTGGCGCGGACTTTGTAGACTCTCGACCAAATACCATTTGTCCTTCTGCTTTTCAGTTCCTCTTGTATCTTCCTAGTCTTTGTGAAGGGCAAATTCTGCTTTTATGTTTTTATCTTTACTCTTATTTTGGTGGGTCTTGAAGATGTTCAGTCAGATGTGCTTATCTTGGAGTGTCCACTCCCTGCTGGCTGTAATGTCTGTGGACATTACATGGCCCGTTTATGCACACCCTGTTGTGTTTCCCTCTTAGATTTTTCCTGTAGTGGGAGGGTGTCAGTCTCCCTGACATGGGATCAGGTCATTCCTTGAGATGAGGGCAGAGGTTCTAGATCTTTATTCTGCACCAGCTTTCTTAGAAGGAGGTTTTATGAATCTGTATCTCATACCTGTTTCCTTCTCCCTTAACAGCCCCTCCTAAGGGTTTAGCAGTTTTACATGCCACTTTAACTTTCCATTTCCTTTCTCTTGATGAGCAGGGATTAGTACTCTTTTCCTTCATCACTGAGTCCTTCTTACTCTTTGACATCCAGGGATCTGGAGCACTTGCTGATAAAGAATTGACAGCTGGTAGCGAAGAAGGTGCTGATTTACACGCAGGAAAATAGGTGAACAGAGGCCAGCCCTTCCTCTCGTCCTTTATATTGATTGGTGCTTTGTAGAATATCGGCGCTTAATTTTTCCTTTGTTACTCTGTTTGAGTTACTATTTCCCTTCCTGATAATTCCCTTTCTTTCCCTTCCCTACAGGGTACCTTGCTAGGGAATTTGAGATTTTTCTACAGGATATTTAGCTAGGTTTTAAATGATGTGCTTAATACACATTTATTGACGCAAAGCACTGTGCCTAGGGATGTAGGGCATAGGGGTTCAAGACAGCCCACACGCCACACACTCAGAGCATCTACAATGAGAGCCTTAATGTTAGTAGTTCTGCTGCAGAGGTAAATGCTGCAGTGAAGTGCAGACCACACACACAGTGGGAGAGATGTACAGGCAGTGGGGACTAATCCTGGAGGGGTGATGGGACAGGCTGGGAGAGAGGGAGGGCTGGGGCAGAATCTTGTGGGAAGAGGTCAGACTCTCTTGGATGTGAGGGGGAAGACTCTGGAGGTGGACGCTCACAGGGGTTGCCTAGCAGCCACCTTGAGTTACTCTTGTCACTTGTGTGCCTTTTAGAGTAGATGTATGTAACGTCTGTCTGGGGATTTTTTTCAGCACTGCTGGCAAACCCTGTGCAATTCCCAATGTGCTTTTCTACCTTAGCGTTAATGCTGTTATATTGTTATAATATTGATGTTATTCTCCTAGCCGCCGATTCCTATACATCGTTAATCTAGATGCCCCTTTCGAAGGTCACCGAAAGATCTCTCGTCAGAGCAAATGGGACATTGGAGCTGTGCAATGGAATCCTCATGACAGCTTCGCACACTATTTTGCGGCTTCGGTGAGCTGATTTAAGGAGCACAGGGAAAATGTGGGATCTGGGGCTGGTGGATGTATGTGTTGTGTAGAGAAAAGAATATAACCCTCACTCCTTAGACAGAAAAGAGATGTGGAGGGTCCTAAAAGGAAGAGAAAAGCAAATTACAGATTAAAATATATTTATATATGTATTTGTATTATGTATATATATATATATATTTTTTTTTTTAAAAAATTAATTTATTTATGCACACAGACTGGGGTATAGGCCAGAGGCTCAGGGGTGGTGAGAGGCTTCACCAGAGACAGAATGGGGAGCAGAACAGGCAGATCGACGAAGTACACTGCTGAGGGCAGCAGCGGGCGGGTCAGGAGAGGTCTGCCACACCATGTGGTCACCTCCGGGGCAGGCGGGAATCGAACTCATGCAGAAGCGGCTTTAGATTCTCAGTGCAGTGCTTTAACCCGCTGCGCCACCAGGAGGGTCCCATGTATTATGTATATTTTTTTAAAGGATTGAATCTAGATTTTGCAAGGGGCATGGGTAGGTCCCTTTATTTCTGTGGTTAATGAGAATCCATGTCTTAAGCAGCAGGGTTACTGGTCAACATCTCAATGGTGATATAAGATGGTTTGGGGTGACCTTCATTGCTTCAGGGAGCAGATTTGACACACCCTTCTCAAGGCAAGAGATTCTTCCTCAATTAGGATTCATTAGAATGGGTAACTTCCTGAAAATTCCTGTGCCTGCTTATATGTGAATTTTTCCAAGGATGAGATACGTACATTTTATTAGATTTTCCAAGGGATTCAAAACTGAAAAAAAATCTGGGCTAGATCATCTCTGCTGTCTTTGGCCAGATTCTATATCAGCTTTCTTTTCTAGAACAATGAGAGATCCAAACTATTGAGTCTTTTTGCAGTCTACTGGAAGGATAGTATTTGATGGACTCTTATACAAGGGAGGGATTGGCTTGCAGTGCCACCTGGGACTGCTCTTATCAGGAATGATAGTCCTGAAAGTAGAGCTTCTGAGGAAAGAAAGAGGAGCAGGTTGTCAGCTTTGGAAGGACTAAAAGTTCTCTTATTGGTAGTTCCTAAAATAGAATGTGACAACCAGGGACTTCTGGGTTGAACTGGTTTGAGGGGCTGTTTTAAAAGAGAAGGGCAGGGTTGGGGGTGGCTTCCCCATTCTCCACCTGTCCCTTTGTTTTAGGAAGAAAGCCCTTTTTGTTGTCTGGTGCTTCTAGGCCCTTTCGTTCCCTTCTCACACCCAGCCCCTGATTGTTGGTTCAGAGTTTCTCAGCCTTGGCACTATTTAAATATTAGACCAGATAATTCTTTTTGGTGGGACTGTCTTGTGCACTGTGGAGATTTAGCAGCATCTTTGGCCCTGTCTGCTCGATCCTGCCAGCATCCTCCCTTTTCCCTCCATTGTTACAACCAAAAATGTTTCTAGAACAGTGTCCCCTTGGAAGCATAACCCCACTAATTGGGAGCTATGGATCTACATGGACTCTTAGTATTTGGCCCACATGGATTAACACTGCATTTGTTGGTAGTGGCAAGAAAGACAATCTTCAACAAAACAAAAACAGTATGATCAGTTTAAAATGAGCAATTCACTGCCATTTACTGTCTACCCACTGTTTCCCCCTTCTCTTTCTGCTTTCTAAACATTCCTAGAACATTAAGGTAAAACTCCTTACCTTGAAGCAGCTTCTCCTCATTTTGCCTTCCTCAAAGCTGCTGGCTATCAAGAGTGTATTATGTCTATATGGATTTACCTATCCCAGAATCATACAGTAGTATGTGATCTTTGTGGCTGAAATCCATGTAACATATAGCACTATTTCACTCTTTTTAATGGACAAATAATATTCTACTATATGGGTATACCACATCCATATTTCCAACCCACTGATGGTTATTTGCATTAGCTATTATGAATAGTGTTGAGTACAAGTTTTGATTCACTTGGTATATGTGATTCCTAAGAGTGAAATTATAGGGATGTGTATAATTATTCTGTTTAAGTGAACTACCAGCTGTTTTCTGTAGTGACTGAACTGTTTTATAGTTCTAGCAGCAGTGCATGAGGGTTCCAATTCCTTTATATCATGTTTTTTGTATTTTCTTCATATCTTCATTTTTAAAAATTTCTTTATTGGCCCTCCCTGGTGGCGCAGTGTGTTAAAGCACAGCACTGAGAATCTAATGCCGCTTCCGCATGAGTTCGATTCCCGCCTGCCCCGGAGGTGACCACATGGCGAGGTGACCACATGGCGTGGCAGACCTCTCCTGACCTGCCCGCTGCTCCCCTCAGCAGTGTACTTCATCAATCTGCCTGTTCTGCTCCCCACTCTGTCTCTGGTGAGGCCTCTCGCCGCCCCTGAGCCTCTGGCCTGTACCCCAGTTCTGTATGCACAAATAAATAAATCTTTAAAAATTAAAAAAAAAAATTATTTATCCTAGAAGGTATGGAGCAATGTCTCACTATGGTTTTGAGTTGTATTTCCCTAATGACTAATAATATCTAGAATCATTTCATGTACCTATAGGCTGTTTAGATATAATCTTTTTTTGAGAAAATACCTTTCAAATCCTTTGTTCAGTTATGAGTTGTTTGCCTTTTTGTTTTTATAAGACTTATTTAAATATTTTTGATAACTACACCCTTATCAAATATATGATTTTCAGGTTTTTCCTCCAGTCTGTGGATTTTTTTTTTCACTTTCTTGATACTGTCTTTTGATACATAAAAGTTAAGAATCTATTAATTCTCCCTCCCCCCTTTATAGTTCTTGGTTGGAAAGCAACATTTTCAGGAGAAAGCTTTGGATTGAGGCAAATCTGAATTCAAGACCTGATTTTAACACTCATGACTTTTCATAACAAACCCCCCAATTTTCTGAGTCTCTCATGTATAATGTGAGTGATGAGCCCCACTGTGCAGTGCTGGAGGGAGTGAGGTCAGGTTTTTTAAAGTGCCAGTCACATAGACTGACACTAGCAGACCCTCTCCAGTGACAGGGAATGTTATTGTAAGATGAGGGGACTTTTCTTTTCATTCCTATTCCCATTGTAAGCTATTTTGAATCCTACCCTTCTCTCAGGAAACTTACCTATTTTTAATTGAAAAGTGGCATTTCTGGATAAAAATCTCAGAACATTTTACATCTGTCTGTCTCTGAACTAAAATGGAAACCAGTTTAGTGTAGATGCATCAGATCAGAAATTATTGCACATGCATCAGTGTTCCCCATTCCCTTTCCTTATGTTTTATAAACCAGGATACTCAGGGAGTCTTTCCTGGTATATGTCTTTTAGTGAAATGTAGTTTGACAAAGTGTCTTTCTTTTCCTCTTGTAGGTGTGACTTCTGACCTATTTTTCCCTGTACCTTTCTGCTTAACTCTTAAAGGAATTCAGTATAGACTGATTTCAGGAAGTCTGTATAATTTTGCCATCTAATACACCTTTTTGGTGGTGGCTGTGTTTTCCTTCCTGCGCATCTGTATCTAGGTGGACTTGAGGCATCTGACTGTGGCAGGGATGGTCTGCAGACACCTGTGGGGCCTGAGAGATGGGAGTATGCCCCTCAGCGCAGGGAGGTGTTTTCCCTAGCCATTGGGGTCGTCATTGACACCCTGAACTATAGTACAGCGGTAGCATTGGCTCAGCTGAACCTGCTCAGGATGGCTCCCATTTTGAAATGTTGAGTCCTAGGACTTCAGCTGAGGTTGTCCCAAATGTTGATTGTACTTACAATTGACGGCTTTTTAAGGAAGCTTAACATGTAGGGTCTTTGCCAGGCAAAAGTTGACTTTCCCTGTTTGACTTTAAATAAACTCGGGAAGAGCATCTGGTCTGAGGTCCTGCCTGTTGCCTTCTTTTCCTCATTTCTTTTCAGAGTAACCAGCGGGTAGACCTGTATAAGTGGAAAGATGGCAGTGGGGAAGTTGGCACAACCTTACAAGGCCATACTCGTGTTATCAGGTAGGCACCAACGTTGCTTCTCAGCTTCCTGGCCTGACATGCCTTGTCATAGCTCCCCAGAGCATAAAATGAAGATACTACCCCACCTCCATGGTTTGACCCTTGGTGTTACCTTGGCTCCAAGTGACTGTGCTGCACATCATTGACGGTCACTGAGGCAACAGCTTCCCAGTGAAGAAAAACCAGCATCTGTGTAGCTGAAAGCACGTGGACAGATAGAGTCAGGGCCAGAGAAAAGATAAGTGTTAATTTGTGCTGCAGGAGGGAGATAGTTATGCCAGTGGAACACCTTAGAGCGGAGAGAGACAACAGAGGGCAGCTCTGTGCTCTTTCTTAGCAGCTCCTGTGTCCCAGCCTATTATCCTACCTACTTTTGGCCTCCATTTGACTTCTGGAATGTTCTTTGATGTACCCTTCCCTGGATCTTTGATTCTGGGGATTCAATTTGTTCTGGGAAGTATTAGCATGGAGTGGTGAAACAGACCTGGGAAGTGATGAGCCACACCACCGCTTTGCACTACTTTAAGTGATGTTGGATTTGCTCCAGGTCCCTGTACTTGAGTCTGATTTAGAAACTGTAAGTCTAGAGGACCTGAAAATTGCCTTTGGGGCTCAGTTGTTTTTTCATTCTCAAAGAACTCGGGACATTGCCTGCCTAAGAATGAGAGGCCTGTTATGGTGGCTTTCTGGAGCCTCTATAGATTAAACCTGCCAGTGCTTTGAAACTGGCTTCTCTATTTTCATCCTCATTGTTCTTTTTATTTCTTCTGTTCTAGTGACTTGGACTGGGCAGTGTTTGAGCCAGATCTTCTGGTCACCAGCTCTGTGGACACCTACATCTACATTTGGGATATCAAGTAAGAACAATTAAAAGGCTTTAGGATTTTGTTGTAGGAATTCTGGGACTTTCATTTTAGAGATTAAATGTCTTAGTTTGGTTTCCCCCAGATGCAACCGTGAGCCAGGGGTATCTACAGATGATGATTTAGGAGGTGAAAGAAACCCTGGAAGGAAATGGAGAAAAGAGAGCTTTGGGAAGGCCACAGACAGAGGCCATATTTAGCAATCTAGGTACTACTGTGAACATGTGGAGCTTGATTTGACCTTACCAGGACTACTGGGCATGGAAGTAAAACCCTCTCCCACAAGGCTAGGTTGCTGTCTAGTCAGTCATTGGCTGAAGGCTATCCCTAGGGGCCTTAATTTCCTATCACTTCAGTCCTCTCAAAAGTTGACAAAATGACCTTAAGCAGCTAAAGAAGACCCTCTGGCAAAGAAACACAGTTGTAGGCATTTTAAAGTCAGGGTGGAGTTTCCTAAGGTGGCAAATGACTATGGGGTAGTTGATAGCACAGTCCCACACTTGCTACCACAGGAAGGGCTGCCAGACTCAGCTGCCCGCCTCCTGCTCTCGGTGAGACTTCACTTCCCTTCTGTAAAAGAGCCTTTAAGCTGCCTCCTGGGGTTGCTCTTCTGCAAGTAAAAAAGTAGAGAGTCCTGCACCACATGTTCCTATCCGTTTTAACTCTATCCCTGTGTCATTAGAACTAACAGTTAGAGGTGACCCACCAGAGTGTGCAGTCACCTGGAGTCCTCTGCATGGCCCACCCTCTCTCCTCACCTGCCTCTGCTGCTCCCCAATGTCAGTGACTTAGTGACTCTGTGATTAGTCACACTAAAAGGTGGACCATAGGCAGAGGACAGATTGGTACTGATGCCTGACAGGCCAGCCTCAGGGAGGGTCTGAGGGAGTAAGGGTGTTCACAGCAGCTCACTTCTGCCACATAGAGGGCACTTCAGAGGAGGTCAGTCCAAAGGCAATGTTTGGGGAGGAAAGGAGCCCAAGGCCAGGGGAAATGGAAGAGAGAAGCTCTTAACCAAGCAAACAAAACCTCAGGGAGTTATGGGCCAAGGTTAGAGTACCAATTATTTACATGAAACTATTGTTTTCATAATTTAAAAGTTAAACAACACTGATCATAGCTTCTCAGGAATTCTAGATAACAGTTGGAATTCTAGATAACAGCTGGGGCTGCAGATTTGCCAAGTCTGTCCCTATGAGGGGTAGATGCCCCCAGGTCTGTTACCATTTGTGCTTCTTTCTCCAAGAATCTCTGTTATATACAGGAATCTTTATTTTAAATTGTGATTACAAAACAGAAGATAAAATTTCACCATCATCACCATTTCTAACTGCAGTCAGTCATGTTAAGTACATTCCCACTGTCATACAGCAGAACTTGGTACCCGACACAAGTCACCATTCCCCTTCCCCAGCCCCTCTACTTCTCATTTCTCCAAGTGTGGCTACTTCAGCTACCTGTGTGACACCTACTTGTTTGTCTTTTTGTGACTGGCATACTGGACTCAGCCTCAGGTCCTTGTGGTCAGGCATGTTGTACATATAATAGGACTTCCTGTAGCCTAATCACATCCCATCCTATATGACCATAATATTTTATAATAGTTATAGTATTTAGCTGTACCTCAGTTGTGGACACTTAGGTAGTTTCTACCTCTTAGCTCTTAAACATTTAGAGTATGCATTTACCTCACATGCAGAGTTACACCTCTGTGACTGACTGAACCCTCCTGGCCACCAGGAGGAGTGGCATCAGAAGGCATTCTTGTGGCATTCCCTTCCCTATTTCAGAGTCTCACAGGCTGTGCTGAATCATGTTTGTTTTTAGTGGCTACAGGAAGAAGATTTGAAATTCACTCTCAATTGAAGGGCCTGAGGAACTTCATTTAGCTGGAGGTAGATAGGCTTCTCTACACTTCTTTTTACAGTCTTCACATCCCCATCGAACTCCACCGACCAGGAAGGGAAGAGTACAGAGGGGGAAGTCCCAGGTGCACTGTGGCATGGGAGCTGGCATTTGATTTCTGATATTTGTATTTCAGAGACACAAGGAAACCTACCGTTGCACTGTCTGCTGTAGGTGAGTGCCCGCTCCCCTGCTTGCATTCTTTCCATTCCTTCTCTAACACTAATGCTCTGTGCCCTTGTCTGGGCTGGGTGGAAGGTTAAGTCCCATGTGAGGCTGTCCTCCGAAGTCAGAAACAGAACTTGTCAGTGTGGTCAGGAACTTATTTTGGAATTCAAGGACAAAAATCATATTAATTTTCTTTTGAACTTTTTATTCTAGAATTTTTTTAAAAAATGTATGAAAGTAGAGAGAAAAAGATGAACCGCCTTGTGTTCATTATCTCTGCTCCACAGTGGACATCTGACCAGTCTTGCTTCATCTTTACCTTCAACCTCTGTCCCACCCTCACCCCCTCACCCTTTGCAATTATTTTAAAGCAACCCCTGGTGTCATTATCATGTTATCAATAAATATTTCAGTAAGTATTTTTATAAGCACTGTCTGCTTTAAAAAAATAACCACAAAACTATTAACATGCCTAAAAATATTAGTGCCTTTTGTTATCATCAGCATTATTTAGATCTCCCTGATAGTTTCATGATCCCCCCACCCCAAATTACTTGAATCATAATCCAAGTAAAGTCCATACCTACAAGTGGTTTTTACATTTCTCATTTTCAGTTAGCAGTTTCTTCTCCCTCCTATCTGTCTGGCTGTTTTTCTTTTCTTGCAGTTTACTCACCAAAGAAACCAGGTTGTTTGTCCTGTGATTTCCCCACCCTGGAGATGATGCTGTTGTGTCCCAGTGGTGTCTCTATTATGGACACATGTAGTCTTTGGAATTACTTTCTCATCTACCTGTTGTCATTGCTCAGTTAGAATTGACAGCTTTTGGAATTCTGCCCTGGGAGTGTTCTAGCATATTCCCTCTACTTCCTGAGAACAAAACTGGGGCATAGAACTGGTGTCATAGCTTACCCACAACAGTGAGCCCAGTCATTGGAATTGTAATTTGGCATTTTGATAAACACATAGCATATTGTCTGTCTCTTAAATCCTGCTCCTTTGTATTTTCTTAATACATTTGAATTCACATGTGATATTTTTCTCCCAAATAATCGTGCGATGCCTTTCTCTTGTGTACCTGCATACTCATCTGAAAGGCCTTTAGCAGCAGGACAGCATTAAACAACTAGGTACTCTGTTGTGTGTGTGATCACATCTGGCTTGTTCAGTGCTGTAGACCAAGGTCAGCATTTGTGCCTGACCTGAGGGAGGAGATGCATTGTAAATGTTGGTTCCATGGTTATAGAGTCAAGTCCTGTGTCTCTGCTAAGTGCTTAACAATTTACCCATCTGGACCCCTCCCCCACTCACCACACACCTTCTTAGATGCTTATGAGCTGAGACAGACACTCCCCCCACCCCCTCACCACACATGATTGTCGAGAATAGCTAACAGAATAAAAGTGCAAACTGCCTGTAGATTCCTCAGTCACATTCCCCTGACTGTTGCTTCCATGAGCTGGTCTCTAAGCTGGAGTGGCCATTAGAGGAACCTTGAAAAAAGGTAGTTCTTCTTTTCATTTATTCTAATTGTTTTTTTTTTTTTTTAACTCTTCAAAGTAGTGGTAGAAGACTTCTTTCCCTTTGGCACCTCAGTGAGGTTTTTAGTGGTGGCAAAGCTGCCCTGGGAGAAGAAAGACAAAGAACAGCCTTGTGGACCTTTAAGAGCTGCTTAAGCTAACTTTGCTTTGGGCTGCAGCCTTGGGTACTTCTGCTTTCCAGAGCCTGTGTCCCCATTGTTTGTACCTTTGGGAGCAGGAGTTGGCCAGAAATTACCCTCTGAAAACTCTTATGGTGGGACCTCTGTTAGATCCCTGTGAAGCAGATGAAATTGGGGGATTCCCAGGATCCCTTGGGAAGTTTCATGTTCTGTTGGACCTCCCACAGGGAAAAGTGTCTTTTCTTGGAACTGTTAAAGTGCCTGCCTCTGTCAGGAGGAAACGAAGCAGGCTCTTATTACTTATTTTCTTTTCTAGCTGATACCCTTTTTTGCAGACACTGAGTCTCCTACTCACTACCTTTCTTCCATCTTTAGGGGTCTCCACCTTTCATTCTTAGATGATTCCACCTTTCATTCTTAGAGGACATTCTTAGATGGCCTGTGTTTCAAGATATGCTCACCTAAACACCAAACAAAGCTAAGTTCTGGGTCTTAACTCTGTTTCCTATTTGATTCTGACTCCTTACTTTATCATCACACTCTCGCAATCTTCTTGGCTCAAGTTGCTCTCTAGGGCTTTGTACCTACTGCAGTGTCCCCATGATAAACACATCGAAAGGGAGAGGTGTTAAAGCACAAGCAGCTTGCATAGTGTGAACAAGGAGCAGAAAAGGTAGGAAGGTTCTGGTTCTGGTTTAATGTAAGTGACTTGATTAATTTTAAGAGTTGGCTGTAAGTGCTTTGTGTCCCAGTTTTCTATCTCTCAGCCCCTCTGGCATCTTACCTGATTCCTCCTATCTCAAGTGGCTCTTTCACCATCATTGTGACCTTGTCTTGGCAGCCTGGAAAAAGATTGAATTCACACAGTGCCACTGGTCACCCCTTTCCCGACTCTTTGCAGGACCAGTGGCCATCGCTGACTGCTGGTAGGGAAATGGGGGTATGTGTACATTCCTTCCTGAGAGCAGAATTGGAGCAATATTGGGGCTCTTCTGCTGCTGAGCTTAGCTAGTCTGTATTTTCAAGAGCTTTTCTCAAAAAAAAAAAAAAAAAAGAAAAAAGAAAAGGAGCAGCCATTGAGCTGAGGCTCTGCCCGGGAGCACAGCTTGGTTTTTGGAGATGATGAAGAGCTTGGTGGTATGATGAGTCAATTACCAGCCCGCAGTGCCATCTCGAACTCCTTCCCCTCTGTAAGAAAGTACATTTCCCTGCTGATTCTACATACGGGTAACCTGTAGATTTTTTTCCCTAAGCGAGATTATTCCCTCAATTAGGTGACTCTGATAGTGTTCCTGAGTGTTAATTCATTTACTTTTTTGGCTTCATTTTCTCATTAGTGGTAGAGTTGGTGCAGTCATAGAAACTCGAAGTGTTCTGTGCTTATGCAGCTAGAACTCATTACCCAGCTCCCCGGGATGTGCTCTGGTTCCGAAGGCTCTCAGGGCAGCAGCTTTCTTCCCCTGATTTTTCTCTGCAGCGGGTGCCTCCCAAGTCAAATGGAATAAAAAAAATGCTCATTGTCTGGCCACCAGTCATGATGGGGATGTGCGGATATGGGACAAGCGGGTGAGTAATCTCTTTTCCTCCAGCTGGTCTGTAGTCTTTGCCCCAGAGAGACTTGTCAGGATGTCAGCAGTCCAGGATACCCTCTGCAGCCCGGTCACTTTTTAAGGTCCCCGTGCCAGGTGACATTTGATTCCCTTTCCAATTGGTGTTGGGGGAAGGGAGGGCAATAAGGCATTATGATCCATGGAGAAATAAAGAAACTTGGGCTGATCTAGATTGGAGACCCATTATGCTGCCTCCTAATTGTGTTAGCAAGTGAGCCACTAAAGTTCTTCAAACCTCAGTTTCCTTATATTCCTCAGTACACAATAAAGATATAATAGTGAGTATAATGTTGAGATCAAATCTGGGCCACCAGACACTATTCTAGAAGAGTCAGCAGGCTTCCTACCCCTGCCCCAGATTCCAAAGTCAAAGTTTGTTGTTTTAGGCTATGCACCATCCTGATACTTCTGGCATGAATCACTGAGGTGGGGGCTTTAGTACACGCAAATCCTCCATGTGAGAGTCTAGCTGGTGCATCAGCCTCAGACATAATAGATCATATATTCTCATTGCAGCAGCCCATGTAACTAATAGTCCCGAGAGAGGTGCAAGGATTGTATGCACAGCCTAAGAAGACTGTGGTAGAGAAGAGTTTGCTGGAAGTTTGCTGTGGGAACACAGATGTAGGAAGAGGGCCTCCCCCACATTGTGTGCCTGTTCTGTTAATCCTGAGAACTGCTCAGATGATTTATATAAAATTGGTCATATTTTCACTTCTCTGGTCATGGTTGACACTCTGTAGTGTCAAAGCAGCAGCACTGATGGCAGCAAGCAGCAGAACTTCAAAAATAGTGATCAGTGGTAACCTTGACTTTTCACCTGAACTCATGGATGTCTGATGATACTAACATTTACCATGCGTGGGTGTTGTTCCAAGATCTCTGCAGTCTTTTCTCTTTATACTAACCTTTATATTAGTTGCTATTATTATCCCCATTCTGCAGATGAGTAAACAGACTCACAGCTCATTGCTGGGCTTTGAACTCAGGGAGCTGATTCTGGAGGCTGCATTCTTAGCTTCATTGTAGAAAATAAAGAGAGGATAATAATCATTCATAGTATTACCCAGAGACAGTACTGACATTTTGGTGTTTTCTTATGACCTTTTTTTAAAACATAGTTTAATCTTATTATGTATGTAGCTATGTGTGCTTTTAAAAAAAATATAACGTTGCAGCAAATGCATTTTCTTTAGGTTACAAGTCTTTTTTTAAGTATAACTTTTAGTGGCCATAACATATTGTATCAGATAGCTATACTGTAAATGATTCTAAAGTTTTTCTTAAAAGATTTATTTTTATTTATGCATACAAGAACTAGGCCAGAGGTGGGGGAGGGGGGTAGGAGGGCTCACCAGAGACAGAGTGGGGAGCAAAACAGGCAGATCTATTGAAATGCACTAATGAGGGGAGCAGCAGGCAGGTCAGGGGAGGTCTGTTGTGCCACGTGGGTCAGCTCCCTGGCTGGGATGGAACTAATGCTGCCGTGGCTGCAGAGAGCTTCACACTGCTCGACTTAATCCCTCACACCACCAGAGAGGCCCCTGACAACCTGTATCTTGTAACCTTCACTCAAACTGTGTCTGAGGCTAGAGTGAAAGAATTTAGGCTCCCAGCCTCATATAGAGCACGTGTAGAGAGAGGGAGGATGTTTTGTTATTGTTGTTTTGTTTGCTTTCACAAAAGAAAGTGGAGTTTTGGGTGAAGAGAATGTCTGGTGGTATTTTCATATTCCCACTCTGCACACAGCAGACTGTTAGTGGGGCGGACACTCATTGACAACACTCCTTGCTGATCCCATTGCAGAAACCCAGCACAGCAGTGGAATATTTAGCAGCTCACCTGTCTAAAATCCATGGCTTGGACTGGCACCCAGACAGTGAGCACGTTCTTGCTACCTCCAGCCAAGACAACTCTGTCAAGGTGAGTGGCACCCACATAGGCGTCAGGGGGTCTGCATTGGGGAGCCTCAGGGATACATGCGAGCACTTGTTCCTAGGGAAAGCACAGCATGTGAGCACAGGAGGCTTCTTCAGACCCGGGCTGGTGCACCTGGTTTTGTAGACCAGCAGGAATGATGTAGCAAGTATATCTGGTACATAGCTCCTAGAATTGGCTCAGGGTTTTCTTCTTTTCCCTCTGTGAGAGGAAGTCAGAAACAAAAGCATTTAGAAAGGAAAAGTTTTGCAAAAAGTTGCCAGGAAGTCAATTTCGGTCCTCACTCCTCACAAGACAACAGCACAACAACTACATAAATATATATATGATATATATAAGAGAAAAGTTCATAAAATCAAGGTTGCCAAGTTCACAACTGGTCTGGGTTGGGAAAACAGCAATTTCCTGATGTAATAGTCATTTCTGCAAAAGTTATGACCTCTTCAGTCATCAACATTGCAGGAGTTGGGTAGATGTTTTTTTAAGACAGTGTCTGACTTAGAGGAATTGCTGAAGGGTTTCTGTGTTTCAGTGACCCTGTTTTGGTGGTTTATCTCAGAATGCAGTGTTCTTTGTTTATTTTTTTCTCTCGCTATGGGATATGATGTGTACCCTGTTCAAAGGCTACAGGACAAAGAGTCAGCTTTGCTCCATAGTTCCTCCTCGTGGTCAAGTCTCTGCCCCTAAGGACAGAGGTTTGACCACAGAAGTTTGCTTGGCAATTTTGTGATTCAGCATCATTTGTTTTAATATTTTGTATTATTTACATAGGCACGTATACCATCTTTTGGTATGATTAGCAAAACTGGAATCATATAGTTAGGTTTACAAGTTAATTTCTGCTTTGAGGTTTGTAAATCCCTAGGATTGTGAAATACTTATTTGTGCCAGAAGGGGTTGGCTGATTTGTCCCCGTGCCCCCCAATCAGCTTTCCTCCCAAGTTCAGCAACCAGAAAGTACGCAATGTACCACCTTCTCTTTTTAGGTCCCTAAGTTTGTCGATGTTCAGAAATTTCTTTACTACCTTTGAGACTGCGATTCCATAGGTAATAAGGCCAGGTTCCACATGTGAAATGCTACTTGTTCTTACTTACTTACATGTTAAATGAGACTTCTGACATGCTATTTGATTTCTTCCATTCTATCCTGGTAGGAAGGAAGAGAATTTTTTAATTGATTGTCTATGAATAACACAAATCATAGAGGCACTTTATATCATATTCAGAATTATTTTTAATAATTTGCTGATAAGGATTAATAAGTCATTCTTTCCCTCCATAGTCATTTTCTTAAGCTTACCTGATATTTTTTAGTCTATAGTTTATAGTAGTAGTTTTTATTTTATGAATTCAAAAGGGCCAGCTGAAATAAGAAACCATTTAATAAAAGTTTAATTTCAGTTTGTAAATTGTTTTGTGTGTGTGTGTTTTTAAGATTTATTTTATTTATTTATGCATACAAGGACTGGGGTGTAGACCAGAGGTGTAGATGGGGGTATTTGTAAAAGGATTCACCAGGGACAGACTGGTGAGCAGAACAGAAGGATTGACTGAAATACATACTGAGGGGAGCAGCAGATAAGACAGGAGAGGTCTGCTGGGCCATGTGGGTCAGCTCCCTACTACGTGGCTGCTGATAGCTTCACAGTGCTCAGACTTAACACGGAGGCCCTCAGTTTGTAAGCTGTTAAACTATGAAACTGTTGAATTAAGATCAGAGCTAGATCAAGAAGCAAGAAGAAATTTTCTTTTTTTTTTAAAGATTTGTTCATTTATGCATGCAGAACTGGGGTACAGGCCAGAGGTGCAGGGGCTGTGAGAGGATTCACCAGAGACAGAGTGGAGAGCGGAATAGGCAGACTGATGAAGTACACTGCTGAGGGGAGCAGCGGGCAGGACAGGAGAGGTCTGCCACGCCATGTGGATCCCTCCATGGCAGGCAGCAATCAAACTCTTGCTGAAGCGGCTGTGGCTAGTAATGCTGTGCTTTAATCCATTGTACCACCAGGGAGGGCCCAAGAAGACATTTTCTTAAATTGCCATTAAAAATAGAACATTAATGATAATGAATTTAGTTCATATCATTTTAGATAATTTTCCCCTTGATCTTGGGTTAAGCAGCCTGTTCTGCAAAATTGCCTTCTAGACTGCAAGCTCTGGAAATCCAAACCTGGTCTCTTGGTATGTTCGGACAGATGTATGCTTACCTGTGTGTCAAGGTCAACCTTACTAAGAATCCTCTTCCCATGAGGCTGTTCCCTGTGATTCAACAGTCAAGTCTGTTGATGTCAATCTTCTGATATTTCTTCAGAAACCTTCCTTTCAGATCTGTAGCTTGAAGCAGGGTCCCCTTGGTAGTGTTGAGAGAAAAGCAGAAATCACCAATGACTGGGAGGATGTCATAACTCAGGTTACTTTACTGTGATAACCAGGTCTATCAGGTTGAACAGGGAAGCCCTCCATTCCCAGATCATATGTAATTATTTCTTTACACTCCATTAATGATGCCTTGAGAATAAAAGCATGTTATAAACAGCCAGGCCTCTGTCAAATCTTTAGGGTCCTCTGATTTATCCTGTGAATCGTGTAATTGTCAATTGATGAATATATTTAAATCTAGGAACAAAATCTTTTTTGAAAGTACTAATTTTGTTACTAATTATCATGTCAGTCTTTGTAATGAATATAATGTGCCCTGTCCAACCTGAGAAGTAAAGTTACTGAAATGTGTTTATGTTAATTTTGCCTACATGTAATTAACCTAAGTAAGCCGAACTCTTTGATTTGATAATTTTTCATATATAGTGGGCTTGATAACAGGGAATTATTCACAAAGCTAATTAAAACTCTAGAGGTTACCAAGCATACCTAGTTATTTCTACTATACCTTTTTTTAATAAGTTGAGAGAGAAAATTATAATTTACCCTTTGGCCATCTGGGAAAACCAAAAAAAAGTTTAGATATGGAAAGGACACCTTAATAATTATTTTTTTAAAGATTTATTTATTCGTACAGAACTGGGGTACAGGGCAGAGATGCGGAGGATGAGAGGATTCACCAGAGACAGAGTGGGGAGCAGAACAGGCAGATCAACGAAGTACACTGCTGAGGGGAGCAGCGGGCGGGTCAGGAGAGGTCTGCCACGCCATGTGGTCACCTCCAGGGCAGGCAGGGATCGAACTCATGTGAAAGTGGCTTAAGCTTCTTTGTGCTGTGCTTTAACCCGCTGCGCCACCAGGCAGGACCACCTTAATAATTTTATCATTTTGGATTTGGACTGAATTTGACCCAAAAAAAGTTTTAAAAGAAACAGGTAAGTATAAAGCTTAAGAGTTCAAAGATGAAAAATTAATATTGTCTATATTTGATATGGAATAAAAATAAGTAGAGCAGCAAGTAATTATTAGGAATTAATCATAGTGTTTTTTAAAGGACTATAAAAATTTATTCAAGGGCATTCTGAAAACCACAAACATCAGATTGTTTTGGTGAGATAAGGAAATTCCACTCTTCAAGAGCAGAATGTCTTTTTACTGTTCACCATTAAAAAAAGCTGACCGGTGTGCAGAAATCAATTGTCATTTAAACAGAAAGAGAACCCTCAAATTTTAGTTTTATCCTTTCTATCATTTATATATCATTATTTAGAAATAAAATTTTCACAAATCTTTTTCCATCTTATAGGAAAATTTATCCACATTCAGCCCACTTGGTCAACATGTAGGGTTTTCATTGTTCTATCAGAATGCTTTTTATTTGAAGATATTATAAACCACCATACATGGGCTCAGACCTGCTATAATTTACAAATGTCTTTGAAATTTGTCTTTTATATTCTTGCACAACCAGACTACATGATAGAGTTAACCTTTTTTCTCCTTAATGAGTTAGAAACAAATGTGTCGTATTATGTCTCCACACATATAGGTGTATTTTACATTCTTAAAATAACAAAACAAGGACATTTACTATTTTGTTGAAAAAGGAATTATAAATCCTTTCAATCTGTTAACTTCTGGGCAATCATACATTATATTTCAAAATAAATATAAATCAATTCTGTAAATATATTCAATATTTTATGTCTTTAAAAGAATAAAATAAGAAACAAGGTTTATGTAAATTGTTTCATAATCAGTTTTCAAAAAATAATCTATAATCTATGTAGAAGTTTTCCAGATACTCAAAAGTCATTTGTCAGTCAACTCAATTTGATATTAATCCAAGGTCTTTAAGAATCTTGAAATTACAATTTAAGTTGATTTATCACAGAGAAACAAAAGTTGATAGCAATAGTTAGTGAAGTACTAGACATTTTTACCTTCATATTCTTTTTTTTTTTTTTAGTTTATTTATTTATTCATACAGAATAGGGATACAGGCCAGAGATGAGAGTGAGAGGATTCACCAGTGACAGAGTGGGGAGCAGAACAGGCAGATCGACAAAGTACACTGCTGAGGGGAGCAGCGGGCGGGTCAGGAGAGGTCTGCCGCGCCATGTGGTCTCCTCCGGGGCAGGCGGGGATCGAACTCATGCTGAAGTGGCTTTAGCTTCTTGGTGCTGTGTTTTAACCCGCTGTGCCACCAGGGAGGGCCCTTACCTTCATATTCTAATGGAATAGCTAAGTTCTTACGATACTTGGTATAATAAGAAGTTCTTAAGAGCAAATTGTTTTAAAGGAATCAATTATTGTTACTCAGTTTAGTTTAACAATATAACTTATCACATTTTTATAATTTTAAACATTCTGTAGAAATGATGATGATGACTTGTATAACCACATAAAGAGCTTATCCAATTTATGGAGTTTGAATTAATTAAGCTTCCTATGAGAATATAAGCCTAAGTCTTATAGTGTAGTAAAGATGGGAAATGACAGTCAGTTACTTGAAACCAAAATTACCAAACTAGTCTGTCTGGGAATTTATCTTTATTAGTAATATTGTCTAATTTTTTTTCTACATTTATTTACTAAGTTTTTTAAAACTTTTATAAAACCTGTTTAAAGCACTGAGATTTTCTTTTATTTCTTTTTTCCTTTATACTGTTATGAGATTTCATACTTTGTGATCTGGTATCCAAGCCCACTAATTTAACCCCCTGCCAGCTTTCCCCCTCTACAACTTCAACAGACACGTGAGGCTTTCTTTAGAGCCTCATATCGAAAGCCATAGAAATTGATTTTTTTCTTTCTAGAAATTCTTGAGTTTTCTTAAGTTTAGCAGCATGATTATTAGTCTCCATAGTGAATCAAAATAGGATCTGTGTTAAATTCAACAGATCTTATAATCTAACTAATTCAAAGAAGTAGGCGAAGGTACACTATTTGTTTGCTCAGGAATTGAGCATGTCCTTCCCACACTCATGCAAAAATCTAATCAAGTTCTCAAGCAATCTAGGGACTCAGTGGGAGTGTAGAGCTAGCTTTTTACCTGTTCGTTATGTGCTGTGTTCTATAATATTCATTCATACAGGGTGTGGTTTAGGGGAACAGTTTTAAGATTGATTAGCACCTTGTTGTTATCACATGGAATAACCCTTTACATTTCCACTTGACTCATTTATGTATTTCTTTGGGTCATTCCAGTGTTCGTTTGAGAGGAGTAAGAAAGTCATCCACTTCGATCTCCTTAGAGTTTTCTAAAGGCTATGAATCTCTAGACCATCAAAAGTGATCTTTGCCAGATCTGTTCAAGCTCAGCCACACAATTACACAAGCCAGCAAAATGTCTTCTTTAAACTTTTTTTTAAAGATTTATTTTAGTTATTTATACATAGAAGAACTGGGGTGTGAACCAGAGGTGTGGGGGTGGGGTGGGAGGTGGGGGTAAAGAGGATTCACCAGAGACAGAGCAGGGAGCAGAACAGGCAGATCTACTGAAATACACTGCTGAGAGGAGCAGCATGGTGGATAAGGAGAGGTCTGCCATGCCATGTAGGTCACCTCACTGGCTGGGGATCAAACTTGTGCTGCAGTGGCTGCAGTAGCTTCAGAGTGCTGTGCTTAAACCTGTTGTGCCACCAGGGAGGGCCCTGGAAATTACTTCTTAATACCTGCATAATTTAGAGTTTCTATCCTGGTTTTTCTGCCTTTGGTGTTCTGCCATTTTCCTACTTTCGTTACAGATGTTCTGGCTCTAACGTAATCCCTTCTCTATTAAAAAACCTCAGCCCTTCTGGGGTAGAGTTGTTATCTTGCTCACCTTTGTTACTAGTCACCTTTGTTCACCTCAGTTTCACACCTCCTGTGCTGGAGTGGGCAAATGGGCTGTCCCCGAGCAGGTCATATCTAAGCGTCACACAGACCTCTTTGTGCCCTGGCAACCCTGGACAGGTTATATCATGTACTAATTTGGTTTTTACATCTGAAAAAGAGATTAGTACCCATTATGTAGTTATTGTAAAGATTAAATAGGACAAAAAATTTAAAGCTCCAAACATCTGAAATGCAGTAAGTAGTACATTCCAACTGTTGTTATTAGAAGTAGTATTTCCACGTGTTGTAAAAGTGATGCAGGATGAAAAACAAGCCTCTCTCACTTCTCAGCTACAAAGGTTGTTTAATAGGCCTGCCGGCAGTGATCTGCCCCAGCGGCAGTCCTCACGAAGTCTGGGAATTACCCAGTGTAAGTGTGAGCAGGAGGTTTACTTTGTGTCTATCGCAGTGGCCTGGCTATGAGGTGACTAACATGTACTATTGAAATGTATCTTTAGGGGACACAAAGCAATGAGTTCGAAAACTTTGCTTATTGCAGTAGTTGAATTTTTTTTTTTTTCTTAATGGCATTTATTTCACCAGTGATCCTGCTTGCTTTCTTCCAGTTCTGGGATTACCGCCAGCCTCGGAAATACCTCAACATTCTTCCTTGCCAGGTGCCTGTCTGGAAGGCAAGATACACTGTGAGTGAGAGACCTACCTCTTGCTGGAAATTTCATCTTGGTCTTTTATAAATAAGAAGCTAAGGGACATTTTCCTCTTAGAGACAGTTTTCTCTTTCTATCTTGGTTTAGGGCTGAGGGAGAGTGATAACATAAAAGTTAACATCTACTTAAAAATTTGCCCTTAGTGCTGGGTAACAATGTGTATTAGAATTGCTAACCTTAGCTAGAGTGAGAAGCTCCACACTATGGGGTAGTCAGTAATGGCAAGAGAGTGAGGTTGAGGCAGAGCTTGAAAGTCTTGCAGGTAACAGATTCAGAAGACCTAGGTTTTGGGCCTGGCTATGTCACTGAAAAGTTTTTCCCAGCTTTATTGACAAAACATTGTGTAAGGTCACAGTGTACATTATAATGATATGATACACTTAAATATTGCAAAATGGTTACCACTAAAACATTAACTACTACTTACATTACATAATTATCATTTCTTTTGTGTAGTAAGAACGTTTAAGATCTACACTTAGCAACTTTTAATACTTACGTAATACAGTATTGTTAACTATAGTGACATGCTGTACATTAGAGCCCTATGACCCATACCTGGAAGTTGTAACCTACACAACTCTCCATTCCCTTCACCCGCTCAGCTCTTGTAACCACAGTCTAGTCTCTGTTTCTATGACCTTGACTTTCTGAGATTTTACACTGAGTAATACCTGCCTTTTCTATCTGATTTCTTTCACTTAGCATAATGCCTTAAGCAGAATTCCTTCTTTCTCATGGCTGAGAGCTATTCTCTTGTGTATCTATAGCACATCTTTTTTTACCCACTTATCTGTTGTTGGGTGCTAAAGTTATTCTTGTGCCTTGGCTGTTGTGAATGGTGCTGCAGTGAGCCACATAACCGCTGTGTGGCCTTGGGCAATACTCTTGATTTTTTTTTTTCTCTTGATGTTTTAAAACAATTTCTCATGAATACGAATAAACTTTTTCCTATGCTTTTTTTAAAATTGTGTGATAGAATTGACTATTTGAAAGTGTGTTTAAGTGGCATTTTATGCATGTGTAATGTGCCTTTCTTTTGAAAAATGGCATATGAAAATGTCTTCTAAACCACAAAATGCTGCAGATATAAAGGGTATACTGTCACGAATCTTCTAACAGTTTTTCCATTGCCACACTGATAACTGCTGTTCTGACTTAATTTATTTCCTTCCTTGTCAATTTCAAAGAGAGCACAGGGATGAATGAAGCTAAGGTGATGTATTAAGCTGTTACCCTGGGGCATCAGGAAGCAGAGAGGATTATCTGGGCATTAAGTGGTTTTTGCATCTGGCAACTACTTGTCAAGAAATCAGACTTTGTTCTTATGAACTGAAATACTTCTCTAGATTAATGTGTTTGCTTAAAAATAAACAGAAGTCTAGGAGTGCTGTCTGGTATGAAGGGAAAGATAAATGTGCTCTTGGGTGCTATGGTTTATCCTTTAAGTAACAGGGCCTGATTAGGGACGCCTCAGCTACCCAGTGGCTTGAGAATTGATAAGTAACATTCCTCCCTGAAATGAGAAGGTTTTTCTTTGAATAGTTGTAGTAGCAGGGAGGCAGTGCGTCATGCAGATGTTGTGTTCCTGGTGCGTTTCCACATGGCGAGGCTTATGTTTGCTGTTCTGGGGTTTTTCCCCAGGATGCCTTGCATGCTTTTTCTGGGAAATCACTCAGTCACTCTCAGAGGAAACTCGTGCAGAATAGCTGGGATGCGAAACAGCGTTCCAGTGGGCAACAGTCAGCCATTTGCTTATTTTAGAACTTAAATCATTCCTCAAGTATTTGGATTAGCTTTATTTTTCATAGTCAAGGAAAAGTAAAAGAAAGGTAGACATGATGATCAGTTTATGGATATTGGGAAGATTTTCCCCAAATGGGTTGGAGTTGCCCATCATTTAATTTATTTTAGTTAGGAAAGGATTCCAACTTTAGTGACGCAGAAGTCAGCTGTTTCTCCCTGCTTTTGCCCTTTCCATAGCCTTTCAGCAATGGATTAGTGACTGTGATGGTTCCCCAGCTGCGGAGGGAAAACAGTCTTCTCTTATGGAATGTCTTTGACCTGAACACCCCAGTCCATACCTTTGTGGGGCATGATGACGTGGTGCTGGAGTTCCAGTGGAGGAAACAGAAGGAAGGTGAGTGTGGGGGAAGACAGCCATTTGATTTCCTTCTGAGCTCTACCAGTGGCCTCAGGCAGGGATGGCCGTGTGGCCAATGAGGAGAACACAGAAGTTAGGGTAGGCTTTCAGAAGAGTCAGGGGCCATCTTCACTGTAGATTCAGAAAGGGCTGCTGTTTGTCCCCAAATTCCCTCCTCTGCTCTGTGTTTAGTGCAGCTTCTCTCCTACATGGGAGGGATATAAAAGAAGTAGATAGAATTGCTGTTGGATCATTTCAAGAGCTGAAAAACTCTAGCTGCTTGGAAGCCGTGTCTTAGCTAACCCTGGCCATTCTCTTGATGAGAGAAATCAATGTCATGCTTGCTGTCTCCCACCAGTTCTCTTCATAGACACACTGCGGTCTCCCCTGAAGACAGGTTCTGCCCAGTGATGTGCTTTACTCATGAAACAGAACAGAAGTGACTCTGGGTTGAAGTAGTAACTGATACGCAATTATGCACTCCGTTTGCATGGCCATGGCTTGCAGCTGTAACTGTGCCCACCAGGAATGTGTATGAGGCCGAGATGTAGATTGAGCCAGAGCCCTTCTGATTGAAGCCATTGGGATTTGGGTTGGATGTTATTGCAGCTTCTCATCTAGGCAGCCCTCAGAAAGGCAGGACCACAGGTATAATGGGAGCCCTTGGCCTCAGTTTCTCCACCAAGTCACTGTGCAAATTTACTTGAGCTCTTACTGTTCTGCTCTCTAGACATCTGATAGAACAGGATTATGTTTCTTGGTGTTTCCACATTACAGAAGCAAGACCAGGAGAGAGGAGTGACTGGTTCACAGTCCCAGGACTAATCTGTAGTAGCCCCGGATTAGAGCAGTCATCTTACCCCAGCTGTGGTGACCCTCACACAGGATAGCTTTTGAAAGGACTCTTGATCATACTCTTAATTGTCCTATCTTATTCTCTATTCTTCTAGAAATAATTTGCATGTGTGACTTTGACTTCTAGCATGTTCTTTTTGCTTTTTTTGCATACAAACTAGATGATTTTGTTCTCCCACAGTCTGGCAGGAAGGAATTGACGAGTAGTTTTAGATTAAAAAGTTTTTAGCAGCCTGTCTTTATTTTTCTGTGTCATCTGTAGGCTGTTAGGGAAGGGATCATTGTCCTTTGTCGCCCTGTTGCTTCGGATGGGTTATGTTGTCTGTGGTCTCAGTTTCTCCCCTTGCAAAGTGAATGGGATGGATTTTTTCCCAAGTTCTTTACTTTCTGAAAATGGTCATAAAGCAGACTCTAGATACCTCATAATTACCTTGAAATGATCTGATCTTTCCCAAAGCTTTCTTATAGAGACTTGGCCCTTTTTCAAATAATTTCTCTTTATACCTCTGTGAAAATACAGTTCAGTTGATGAAAGAACATTAAAAATTAATTATTCATTTTATAAAGAGATGTATCTCTTTACCAAAAAATTTTTAAACAGTAAAATGCCATGTTGGATTTAAAATAACTCTTTTTGCAAAAACCATATATGTTCTCATCTCTTCTGGAGCACATAAAAATATTTGTGGGAGTGAAGGTTTACTGTGACATTAAATCCCAGCATCACTCTTCACCTGCTAATTTGCCAGTTATTATTTCACTTCATTTACATTTCTGCTCAAATGTAATTTCCTCAGGGAGTCCTGTCTGAAAATAGCTCTTTACCAGTTTTGTCCTCTTCTCCCACCGTTTTTTTTTTTTTTTATAACCCTATTGGGCATCTTATTGTATATGGTTTTATTTATCTGTTTACACCACTGGAATATGAGAGCTATATACAAACAGATTATTGGATTCACATTACAGTTCCTAGCACCTAGAAAAGTATCTCACATGGGACATGTTCATACATATTTGAATGGCTGACCAAACGAATGAATGAATCTCACTCTTTTGCTGTGTATAGCAAAATTGCTGTTGGATATAGAAAATCCAGGTTTCTTTTTTGGTGATTTCTAGGATCGAAGGACTACCAGTTGGTCACGTGGTCACGGGATCAGACCTTGAGGATGTGGCGGGTGGATTCCCAGATGCAGAGAGTATGTATTCGCTGCTGTTATGAAAGAATCTAATTGGATTCACTGGAAACTTTAAAAAAAAAAATGCAAGATTTGTATTTGTGGAAGTCAGAGGATATATGATAGACATTTAACCCATACTTGCTGGTTGATTGAATTGAATGGCTTATGCTTGCCATGGTGAGCCTCTAAGTTCTTTAAGAGCTAACTTCAGTATTCAGCACTTTTAGACCTAAAGCCCTCTGATGTCTGTTTTTCTCTTGTTACTGGTGTAAGGTAGTGTGCGTAGCACACTGAACATTTGGCCTGTGGATTCATCTCCTTGTCTTCTTCAGAATGGGCCAGGAAGTTCACTCTTGCCATCCACAGTGGTCAGAGTCATCTATACCCACCAACAACTCCTATAAAGTTGATTCTAAGTTTTGCCCCTTAAATGACATTTGTTTCTTACATGAACTGTAGAGGTGCCTGTTTTGAACTGCTTACATGACCCTTGCTTTGCTCTGCCTCACCATAGGCTTCTGTCTTCTCATTTGGTGGCTGGATTCCTCAAAGTAGAATCTTGTCTCACTGTTTAGCCTCTCCCACAGTGCTCTGTATACAGCAGGTAGAAAGTGCTGGATAATTTGCAACACTACTTAGTAGGAAGCCACTCTTGAGCATTTGGTTAGGTATCATTGTTTTGTTTTGGTCAAATATCATTGCCTTTTAAAGCTGCTTTCTCCAAAAATTGCTATTTGCTCCAAATCTTTTGAGGTTATAACATTTTTGTATTAGCTGAATGATTCCAGCAAGGCTTGGAATTTTAAATAATATTTACTTCAGCTTGTATAAATTATGAACACAATGAAAATTTTCCAGAGTAGAAGAATAGAGCCTGTAATCATATGTTGATGATGGGAAAAACCCATTTTGATTGGATCAGCTCTTGGCTGACCTACCTCTATCCTCTGTGATTCCCATTTTTGAATCAGAACTCTAATCAGACTTGATCTTTTCCATTGATCCTTCTAGAACTAGATCTTCTTTCCTTTGTTACAGCTGTGTGCAAATGATATACTGGATGGTGTTGATGATTACATTGAGAACATTTCTCTTCTGCCGGAACCAGAGAAGACTCTTCACACTCAAGATGCAGACCACCAGCACAACTCAAGCCATGGAGAGGAAGAAGGTAACCGGTTAAACTGGTGAGGTCTCTGTTCTTACTTTTGGTGAGGTCTCTGTTCTTACTTTTGAGTTGTGACAGATACTCTCCAACTGTTCTCTGACTCATGTACAAAAATGTTTTCCCACAACTGTACCTTTCTCCTGCTAGTCATAAAGGAAGACCCCCCTAGCAGTCTCCTCGAAGAGAAGAAATCTGATCAGCTGGGACTGCCGCAGACTCTGCAGCAGGAGTTCTCTCTGATCAATGTGCAGATCCGCAACGTCAACGTGGAGGTACTCAGCCGTGACCTCGCTGTTTCTCTGCCTGCTGATCACAGGTTGTGGGAGGGACCAGTTTAGCTACCATTTGGGCTGCTTGGTAGCTTTGCTGCTCTACTACATAGTCTCTGCTTGCTGTTTTATTTACTAGGTTTTCTAAAGAAGTAGATGTTTACAAATAACAGAATATTTTTTCTTGTCCTTTTATTTTATCATAAGGTAAACTAAGGGATAAATGGAGTCTTTTCGTAGGCCTTAAAGTCTCTACTACTTCATTTTCTGGAAGGTAGATCTGGGAAGGCTTAGTGATTTCATGGGGGAAGTTAGTGACAGCTGAGTTTGGAGGCCTCACGTTCCAGAGCTCTTTGTGCTATACTGGGCTGTCTCCCTTATCAGCAGGTCATTTCCTTGGAGATTGAGATTCATAGTAAGAAGGTAGCCTAGGTCTTTTTGGCCACTGATCACATGGCAAGATTTATCACTTCCTTGGAGGCAGGTATCAGAATTCTTTGCTTCAGAGAATTAGATTCTCTCTAAAACTTGATTTATCTTACATATACCCAGATTCAGTTAACAGTAGGCATGACTATGTAAACTTATGTAATTATATCATTTAACTTTTACAGTAATTCTGTAACAAGTGGTTTTAGTCCCACTTTACAGATGAGGACACCTTAAGGGAGAAAAAAAAATTTTTTTATAACAGTTTATTTTTACATCATTTTGTACTTTTTTTTTTCCATCTCAATTGTAATCCCCGCGGGTTTCCCATCACCATGTCACCCATGTGCCATCACCATAATCCTGTGCATTCTCCTCCCCACGCCCCCATTTTTGATCCCATTCCCCACTCCACCCCCACAAAATGTTGTTGTTCATTCTTCTTTTTATTTTCTCGCCTGGTCCATTATACTCCTGCTATGAGTGAAACCATCCGGTATTTTTCTTTCTCTTTCTGGCTTATCTCACTAAGCATGATCTTTTCCAGCTCCATCCAAGTTGCTGCAAAAGACACGTGTTTCTCTTTTTCGGTTGCTGAGTAATACTACATTGTATATATGTACCACATCTTTTTTATCCAGTCATCTACTTTTGGGCATTTGGGCTGCTTCCATGTTTTTCCAATTGTAAATAAAGCAGCAGTAAACATGGGGTGCTGATATCTTTTTGAATCAGTGTTTTTGTGTCTTTTGGGTAGATACCTAGGAGTGGGATTGCTGGGTCATATGGAAGCTCCATGTTTAGCAGTTTGAGGAACCTCCAAACAGTTTTCCATAGTGGTTGTACTAGTTTGCATTTCCACCAACAGTGCAGGAGAGTTCTTTTTTTTTTTTTAAAGATTTATTTATTTGTGCATACAGAACTGGGGTACAGGCCAGAGGTGCAGGGGCGGTGAGAGGCTTCACCAGAGACAGAGTGGGGAACAGAACTGGCAGATCGACGAAGTACACTGCTGAGGGGAGCAGCGGGTGGGTCAGGGGAGGTCTGCCACACCATGTGGTCACCTCCGGGGCAGGCGGGAATCAAACTCATGCTGAAGCGGCTTTAGATTCTCAGTGCTGTGCTTTAACCCGCTGTGCCACCAGGGAGGGCCAGGAGAGTTCCTTTTAAGGGAGAAAATGTTTATCTAAGTCAGCAGCTATTTGGTGGAAGAATAATATTTGAATCCACTTGTCCAGTTTCCCCACATGCGTGGCTTTTCTTACTGTATTCTGCCACCTTCTCTAGATGGAAGATCAATAAATCAAAAGAGATAAAGTTTTCTTTGATAAACTAGTTATGGTTTCTACTCAGTTTATGTTGTTTGTCACAGTTGAGGACAGTGAGGATCCCTAATGATCTACTATAACAAGGAGATCTTGATTCATTTTCCTGCAATGCTTTTTTAAATAATATCGAGATATAGTTCACAAACCCATAAAATTTACCCTTTTAAAATGTATAATTTATTTGTTGTTAGGTATTCATGGAGTTGTGCAACTATCGCCACTATCTAATTCCAGAGCATTTTCATTCTCCCCCAAAGAAACCCTACATCCATTAGCAGTCACTCCCCAATTCCTTTTCTCCCTAGCTCCTGGAAACCACTAATCTACTCTTGACTTTATGAATTTTCCCATGAGTATGTTTTAATTTGAGTAGGACTTAACTTCTTCCTGCTTTATTTTCTCATTCAAAATAAATATAACAAATTCCACAACCACACATCTTTTGGATCAAACTTTTTGAAGTCAGAATATCTTGAAGTTACTGAGTACATATTAAAATTAAAAATCCACTTTGAAATGAATTGTCCAGATCTTTCCCATTTATTGTCTTTGGAGAGGCTCCCTCCACCAGTTACTGGGCAACTTGAGTGGTCAGTTCGCTTCTTTCAACCTGTTTGCATGTAGGGCCACCTTGCTGTTCATCTCCATAGCAGCTGTTGATTTGTCTCTTGCAGATGGATGCAGCAGACAGGAGCTGCACAGTGTCTGTGCATTGTAGCAACCATCGTGTCAAGATGCTGGTGAAGTTCCCAGCCCAGTATCCAAACAACGCAGCTCCTTCCTTCCAGTTTATTAACCCCACAACCATCACGTCCACAATGAAAGCTAAGCTACTCAAGGTGGGGCTCTGCCCACGAGTGTCCGTGTCTGGGTGGAATGGGAACGCTGCTGGATAAGATCTGGAAACCCTCTGCCATGCACTGTCCTTCCCTCTGAAAATCTAGTGGAAACTTTGGATGCTTGCCTTGAACAAATTGCTGAGATGTTGCAAATTACTTCAGGACTATTATATATGAGTCATATAGTTTTATCCTTACATATAAACTGCTCACAGATCTTGTTAAAGCTGTGTGTTATTCCCAAGCTGAGAACTCTGCAGTACATTTTCATTCACCTAGAAATAATAGGTGAGATGTATTTTGAAGCTAAAGATATTTTATAATCAGACCAAAAAAGTGAGTTATTAAAAATCATTCTAGAAAGGGATAGTGTCATCCTAGAATGAGGCAAGCCTCTCAGGCCAGTGTGTGACACACCCCGCAAAGGAGTCCTACAATGCCAGGAGGAGGTGGAACAGCCCAGTGTCTGGTCTGTGCCCCTAGCCAGGCACAAACTGCTCGCGAATCCAGTCAGGCGGAATCCCCATAGAAAGTCCGCGAGCTGAGATTGACCCACCTTTTTCCGTTTGAGTCGCTTCTCATGTGAAGTGACAGAAAGGTCCAGACACATGAAACTGACCTGAATGCTGCTCATCCTTTGCCGCACTGATGTCAGACACTTACTTGCTCCATCTTCTTGGGTGTGATAAGTAGCCTCAGATGTAGCCTTGCTTCGTCTCCCTGCATTGTGGTGGCTTGCAACTGCTTTGTAGAAAAGGAGTAGATCAGGATAAAGACTGTTGGTGATTTGTTGTGTTTTTTTTTTCTAGATCCTGAAAGATACTTCTCTGCAAAAAGTGAAACGGAACCAGAGTTGTCTGGAGCCCTGCCTGCGCCAGCTTGTGTCCTGCCTTGAGTCTTTTGTGGTGGGATTCTTGTTCAACCTTTGCTTGGGTGTTTTGTATTAGTTTTCCTCCCTAAGATCCTGGGTTCCCTGATTTTGTAATAATGTATCTGTATTTTGTAACCTGGTTTAAGACAACTTATAATTGATTTTTTATCTGCTGATTTTTAAATTTCAGAACCAAGAAGACAGTGCTTCCAGCAATCCTTTTGCACTCCCAAACTCTGTCACACCACCCTTACCAACGTTTGCACGGGTCACCACCTATGGATCTTACCAAGATGCCAATATTCCCTTTCCTAGGACGTCAGGGGCTAGGTTCTGTGGAGCAGGTTGGTTCCTTTTGGTTCACTGATTCTAGATTTTGAGAGAGAACACCTAAGAATGACAAATATTCTCCATAAAAATCTGCATCAGAGGGCCCTCCCTGGTGGCGCAGCGGGTTAAAGCACTGCACTAAGAAGCTAAAGCCACTTCCGCATGAGTTCGATTCCCGCCTGCCCCGGAGGTGACCACATGGCGCGGCAGACCTCTCCTGACCCGCCCGCTGCTCCCCTCAGCAGTGTACTTAGTCGATCTGCCTGTTCTGCTCCCCACTCTGTCCCTGGTGAATCCTCTCACCCTCCGCATCTCTGGTCTGTACCCCAGTTCTGTATGAATAAATAAATCTTAAAAAAAAAAAAAATCTGCATCAGAAAATAAGCCAGTTTTTTTTTTTGGACAGCTCAAAAGACTTCTTTAGTATTTTAAATGATCTGTTGTCTAATTGGCATCTGTGGATGTATGCTAAAAAGGTTCACCAGAATTATGTTCTTAATTTTTTTTCATTCTGATGAGTATGAATTTGAATCTTTGCTCAGAGTCCCCAATCTCAACAGAGAACAGGCCCCCAAGCAGAGAAATAGAAAGGACCCATGAAGACTTTAAACAACATATATCTTGTCTCACCTGAGTCCTGAATATTCTGTTCTTGCTCCCTATTAAAACCATGGTAGTCACATGTCTAATTCATCTTTCAGGTATACTGAGATAGGCAAAACATTGGCCAGTGCTGCCTTCGGACGTTCCACATCCAGCTCTTTGTTGTTGATATGCACCTGTGACGTCTCCTTTGCAGGGTACCTGGTGTACTTCACGAGGCCTATGACCATGCATCGAGCGGTGTCCCCAGCAGAACCTACTCCAAGGTAAGTCTGGGGATGCAGATGTCAGGTGCATTTGTGGGCCAGCAGTGGGCAGACACCAGGCACCACTCACCTTGTTTTCAAATAGTTTGTCCTTCCATTAGAGGATTTACTTGAATAAGATCAAGATCCTTTAAATTGCAAGATTTAAATTGCTGAGATTTCTACTGTAAGGTTACTACCAAACCACTTGTTCAAAGCTGGTGTTCAGACAAGGCAACTTCCTTTGCCTCTTTTTTTTTTTTTTTTTACTACAAAGTTTATTTTTACATCATTTTGCACATTTTTTTTCTCCATCTCGATTGTAATCCCCACGGGTTTCCCATCACCAAATCACCCCTGTGCCACCACCATAGTCCCATGCATTTCCCTCCCTTCCCCCCCCTTTGCCTCTTTTTATTTTCTTGTATTGCTAAAGTATTATTTGAGCGTTAAGTAAAACTAGAAAAATAACAAGAAAATCATTTATAGTTCTACCTCACTACTAATTTTACCAAAACATGGTTAATTTTTCAGTTAAAGTGGTATGTTGAAAAGACTTGAATAATATGGAAAGTTTTACATTGAAATATGAAAGCTCTTCTCCTTTTCCATGTTCCACGGAGAGAATCCACTGCTAACAATTTAATGTGTTCTTTCTTTTTTCTTTGAGAGACAGTCTAGTATAGTAAGTGACAATGTGGACACCAGGTTCAGAGCCAAATTGTTAGTTCCCAGTCTTGGCCTTGCTGTTCCCTGACATTAGGCAAGTTAGCTAAACTGTTCTTGAGTTTCTTTAGCTCTAACATGGGGGAAAGAGTAGCACCTAAGTCCTCTAGTTGTTGAGAAGCTAGAGGTAGTCTTGTGAAGCACTTCAAACTCTGCTGGGCACTTTGGAAGTATTCTGTATTTTGTATTATTTTTGCTTTAAAAAAATTCTGTTCACAGTTTTACTGAGATACAATTCACATAGTATTTGAGCCATTAAAATCTGTTGTTCAGTGACTTTGGTATAATTACTCATTCTTGTACCCATCACTACAGTCAATTCTAGAACGTTTGCTTTGTCTCCCCAAAAAAGAAACTTTTCCTTCCTTAGCTGTCCTCACCCCCCCACCAGTTCCCCATTCTCATAGTCCTGGGAAAACATTAATCTACTTTCTGTCTATAAATTTGGCTATTTTGTACATTTCTTATAAACGGAATAGTAAAATATAGCCCTTTGAGACTGGTTTCCTTCACCTAGGATAATGTTTTCAAGGCTCATAACCATTGTAGCAAGTATCAGTACTTAATTTCTTTTTACTATCAAATAATATTTCATCATATATATTTATACCACATTTTATTCATTCCATTGATGAGCTTTTGGGTTATTTCTACTTTTTGGCTAATATAATGCTGCTATGAACATTCATGTATAAGTTTTTGTGAGGACATAGATTTTAATTTTTCTTGGTTATACCTAGTAGCAGAGATGCTGGACCATATTGTAAAGTTGTTTTTTTTTTTTTTTTAAATCATAGCTTTATTTTTTTAGGGAAATTTTAAGATCAGAGCAAAATCAAGTGGAATTTACAGAGAATTTCCATATATTCCTTTCCCTGACCTCCTCACATAACCTCTCCCATACTACTGGTATTTCAAACTTAAATATTGTAAGTCATTTGCCATAGATCTCTGGTTCTGCAGTGGTGACCAAGATAACTGGGAAACTTTCCCCTTCTACAAATTTACTTGGCCATATTGGATGTAATACTTATGAATGAATAGTTAATCTAATAAGAAAAAAGAAGTTGAACCAAATGTATAAGCAGGTACTACCATTGTTCTAGGATTTTGCCAATATTCAGGAGTCCAGGGAGGTGAGACCTTGGCCCCCTAAGAACTGGTGCTTAAGTACTAGACCCCCCTATATTATAGTGGGCTTTATTCAAAAGATTGTACTAGAAAATAATGACCTCCTTTCTAGAGAAATAATGAATATTTGTATCTGTACCTTTTTTTGGTGTAAGATACGGATACAATTACACTTATTTATTTTTACTAAATTTTATTATCTGCATTTTGAATCCAAGAGAAAAATGTTCCCATTAGAACATTTTCCATACTAGCAGTACTTGATTGTTATATAATTTACAGGACCCAAGGTGAGATGTACACCTTGATGGGCAGCATCCAGATCAAGATAGAGAATTGCCTTCATTCTCCAAATTCCCTTATCTCTTTACAGAGTACAGAGTCGCTTTACATTTTTCTGACTTCTGTCAGTGTAGTTTAATTTTGCCTGTGTTTGAACTTTGTTAAAGTAGACTCAGGCAGCATGTTCTGTTTTATGCTTATCTTACTTTGTTCAAGTTAATGCTTCTGAAACTGACCACAGTGTTACTTGTATCAGTACTTTCATTGCATGAAAAATATTGCAATTTGTTTATTTATTCTCCTGTTGATGAATATTGGCTTTTTCTCTAACTTTGTTTTATGTTTAACTTTGTTTATGTTTCACTCCCAAGGAGTAGCTCACTGTTACTGGTGTAGAATTAATTTTATTAGAAGTTGCCTACAAGTCTGTTCAGTGATAGTCCCTGTACACTCTTGACAGCAGTGTCTCAGGGTTCTGGTTGCTCCTCATCTTCTCCAAAACTTGTTTTCAGTCTTTTCAGCTTTAGCTGGATGTGTCAAATATCAATGTGGTTTTAATCTGTATTTTCATGGCGATGGACAGATGACATTGAGCAGCTTTTGTGTGCTTATTGACCATTTGAGTATTTTTTGTGATGTGCCTGTTGAAGCATTTTGTCCATTCTGGGGGATTGTTTTTTGTTTATTTACTTGTTGGTGGCTCTTTAACTGTCTGGCTGTGGATCCTTTGCTGGGTACATGTATTGATTTTCTTCTAATCTGTGGCTTGTCTTTCCTCCTCATTAATGAAATTTTTTTAAATCAGCAGCTTTTCATTTTTAAAAATTTAATCAAGTCCAATTAAAAAATTTTATAATTAGTTCTTTTCATGTGTCTAAAATTTGACTATCCCAAGGTCAAGAAGATAGTGTTCTGTGTTTTCTTTTACATTTTATAGTTCTAAATTCCTTATTTAAGTCTACCATCAGTCTTAAAATAAATTTTATGTATGATGCAAGGTGGGAATCAGAGTTTATTTTTTTCAGTAGACATAAATAGTTGTTCCAGTGCTATTTGTGGAAAAGATTTTTCTTTTCTTATTGAATTTACACTAATATGCTTGTTGAAAAAATCAGTTGAGAATATGTTTGTAAATCTACCTGGACTCTTTTTTCCTTTGATTGATTTCACTTTTTGCCAGTAAAATACTCTTACTAAAATTTTATGTAGTAAGTCTTCAAATCTAATAATGTGAATCCTACAATACGGTCTTTCTTGTTCAGAATAGTGTTGCCTCCTCTGGTTCTTGTGCATTTCTGTAAAAAGAAGAAACTGACTATATTTTCATTGGGTTTATCTTGACTCTGTAGGTCAACTTGGAGAAAATTCACATCTTAACACTATGGAATCTTTTAAACCACTAGCATGGCTTTAGATCTTTAAATTCTCAGTGATATTTTACACTTATGCTCATTTTTTTTTTAAAGATTTATTTATTTGTGCATACAGAACTGGGGTACAGGCCAGAGGCTCAGGGGCAGTGAGAGGCTTCACCAGAGATAGAGTGGGGAACAGAACAGGCAGATCGACGAAGTACACTGCTGAGGGGAGCAGCGGGCGGGTCAGGAGAGGTCTGCCACGCCATGTGGTCACCTCCGGGGCAGGAGGGGATCGAACTCATGCGGAAGCGGCTTTAGATTCTCAGTGCAGTGCTTTAACCCGCTGCGCCACCAGGAAGGGCCTATGCTCATTTTTTAAGTTAAATTTGTCCCTACATGTTTGATATGTTATGATATTGTAAATGAAATTTTTAGAATGTTTATTTTTCTAAATGTTTGTTTCTGTTTATGTAGACATACCAGATTTTTTATAGCTTGACCTTGTATCTGAGTCCATTTATTAATTTCTAGTTATTTGTAGAGCCTTTTGAATTTTCTACGTATACAATCATAGAAGCATTCTCTACTTTTGCAGATAAAGCATTTTTTAGCTCTGAAGTTCTCTTTGGTTCTTTTTTAGTTTTCTTTTTTCCCATGTTTTCTCCACATTTTCTTCCTGGTTTCATCAAGTTCTAGGAATGTGGAGAGATTAGAGACAATATGGATAATTTTGTGTTTTCAACTCCAGATCTCTCTCGGCCTTGTCTGCTTACCACACTGGGTTGATAGCACCCATGAAGATACGCACAGAGGCCCCTGGGAACCTTCGTTTATACAGCGGCAGCCCCACTCGCAGTGAGAAAGAGCAGGTCTCCATCAGCTCCTTCTACTACAAGGAACGGGTAAGTGGAGGCCACGGCCTCTGGTAGTAGACCTTCTGCTGCATTTCTGTTCTTTGTCTCCCTGCCTGCAACACACAGCTGCTATAACCCCCTTATAGTCTTTCACTTTCATAACTCATTTGTTCAGGAAAGGCCTCTGTTCCTTCTATTTGGTTTTAACTACTGTAAATTGTATGTATGTGTGTGGAAGGGTTAGTTCTTATTCATATTTTTCACTCCCTACTCAATCCTGTCCTTTAAATAGGATAATGATAACAAACGAGTTCTCATTTATTAAGCTGATCTCCGTTCTTTCAGGTAGAATAATTTAGATTCAAGTCTCTCTTGGTATTCTGGTGTTTATCAGCAAATCAAAGGACGCTTCTGGAGCTTTGGGATCTTGATATACTTAGAAGTTCACAATTTTGAGGAGTTTTAAAGTTGATTTCCTAAAGATATCATACTTGGTTTACTAAAAATACCCTTTTGTTTGGATAGATCAGTATATACAAATTTGCCCTTATGTTTCTGGGTTCTTAAATAGTTCCTTGTTTTTAAAGTAGCTATTAGAAGTTGTTGGTGATAACAGTGTAGAAAATGTTGGCAGAGTGTAGGAATGATTCTAAGGACTTTTTCTGTGTTCTCAGATTGAGAATCTGGCTTAAACTAGATTTTAGCTGACACAATATTTAATCACAGTTACTACTGAGTTAAGTCACAAACTCAGTCCTTGGGAGTTTTTGTTGTTGCAGTTCCCCCCCACACACACCCCCTCACTAATTGAGAAAGGAATAGATTAACTACAACTAAAACTTTAAAAAAAAAATTAGTTTAAATAATAAAACAATTTCTAGCAAATGTTAAAGGTGTTGGGCTTCTCTGACTTACTAAAATAAATGACAGGAAATAGTGCCTGAGCCAGGACACCTCTTGGGCACGACCATTCAGTGGCTAGCAACGTGTTCACAGGGAACATGGTTTTTTCATTGCCTCTCTGGCCAACTCTCTATAGTTCCCTTTCTTCACATCGCTGATAGAATTCTGCCCCCACTGGCTATCACAGACTTTCAAACACCAGCACCCTCCCAAATCTTTTACATTTAAAGGCTTTAATTTATCTTTTTTTGTAAGCCAGCAGCTAAATGGTTGGATGATCTGATAGACTGAAAACTAAGGCATTTACTGATATAGTGGCCAAACAAAATGAGTAAATGTGGGACTTTTCTTTAGTGTCAGGGCCAGGCTGAGATCTTTTATTCAGAAAGACATTCTGATTTTTACTTTGGTCCATGTCATACGCTGCTTGGGCTTGGGTTGAGAAAAATAAATTGGCTAGCGCTTTTACTCTGCAGTAGTATGTGCAGCCGTGTCTGGTTAAAATGGCTCCTGATACAAGATGCAACCACTTCTGATGCCAGAGCATTGGTCAAGCCTGCATTCCTTATTTCATGTCACACTTCTTTTACTACAAGCACCATAATCATGAAGAGGGACTAAAGGTACATGGATAGTGACCTTTTATCAGAAGTAGAGGAAAGGTTGTGGTTTTTCAGTTTGGGGTAGTTTCCACTGTGCTGCTTCTCCACAGAAAAATGGGCTGTTATAATCCCCTTGGTGACATCATAAGTGGCCTTAAAAGTCTTATTTCAAATAGTGACCAAATAAAATAGAGGAAACACTTTAATTTCATATGAAGGCTTTATGTTGGTATATACAGAAAGTCCACACATTATAACCATATAATTTAGCGAGTTAACAGTCACACAGGCCAAGAAATAGACTTGGAGAGCGCTGGGGGAAGAATGGCATCTAGTGACAATTAGGTTAAATTATGTGAAATTGCTGATACTTGATCCTTTTTTTAATCTCAAAAAAAGTTTGTGTTTCAATCTAATGAAAAGGGAAAATTAATACTTACTTTGCAAGGGAAAATTAATACTTACTTTGCAATGAATCTGAAGTAGGTTTATCTCTTCTTGATGCTTTCTCAAGTCCATCCTGTTACATGGAGCAAATGGAGGGATTATGGAAATGAAATCTTCCACAGGCTATTTTATCTTCCCAGGGGATCAGGCCGTTATCCCTTGGAGAGTATTTTCTAATCCTCATGTGTCTAGTTTCACATATCAAAGACTGTCACTTCTGTTACTTTCATTCTAGGAAATATTCCATTTACTTAAGTTTTTCTGCACCTGATTCTTCATTTTCAGCCCTATTTTTTCCTCTTACATATTTTTGTTCTCTTTTAGATCTCTAACCCTGAAAATTTTAAATGAGTAAGAATAAAAGAATAGGATATTACTACATTCAGTCTACTGCATTCACAATGCAGGGATTATATGTAAAGTATTACTGAAATTACAGAAAAAATTGTACAGAACCATTGAGCATTACTGTTCGTTTCTCTTTGTGTCTTTTTTCAACCTGCTCATCTTAGGTCATAGTGTGACATTCATCTAAATGTGCTCCAGGTGGAATTCCTACATTTGCTCCTAAAATTTTTTTAAATATGAGTGACTTTTAAAACCACCAAATTCCATAGAAAGTTAGAAAGTACAGAGAGATGCTAACATTCATTTGGAAACAGGGCCAACTATTAATCGCTGATGAAGTATTGTTTATTCCATTGTAAATCAGAAGGCCCAAAAGTTAAGATAAATATTTAAATTTTGAACTTCACATATTTGCTTCAGTTTATGTTATTAAAATAGCTCTTAACTCTAAGTAAGTGGAAAGCTCTTAAAGTTAATAAAATCATTTCTGATTTCCATGAATAGTACCATGGCTCCCAGTTCCCCTCAGGCAAGCATGCTTTGGCAGGAGTTCCCTCAAGAGTGGATCTCCACGGTGTTGGCTTCCTCTTCCTCCTGTCCCTCAGGTTCTCACTTCTCTGTTCTATCACTGATGTAGTCCTGCAGCCCCAGTATCAAGACTTGATTTCCCCAATGCCTTCCAGCCACACACCAAGAAATACTTGGTAGTGAGTCTACTGAAGAGAACTCCTACTTTAGAAATGAGAATGTCCTCCTGTATGTGGAATGTGTTCTTCTCAAGGAGCAGGTAGAATCCTCTACCTTTTTCTCCACTTGTACTTGATCTCTAGCCTTGTTAGAGAACCACAAACCTTGATTGTAGTTCCTTTGGCAGAACTGTGCAGACATCAGCCTCTTTTTTTTTTTAAAGATTTATTTATTTGTTCATACAGAACTGGGGTACAGGCCAGAGGCTCAGGTGCAGCGAGAGGCTTCACCAGAGACAGAGTGGGGAGCAGAACAGGCAGATGGACGAAGTACACTGCTGAGGGGAACAGTGGGCGGGTCAGGAGAGGTCTGCCACGCCATGTGGTCACCTCCCCGGCTGACAGGGATCGAACTCATGCGGAAGTGGCTTTAGCTTCTCAGTGCTGTGCTTTAATCTGCTGCGCCACCAGGGGGGGCCTCTTTTTTTTTTTTTTAAGATATATTTATTCATACATACAGAACTGGGGTATGGACTTGAGGTGCCAGGGGTGAGAGGACTCAGGAAAGATAGAGTGGGGAGCGGAATAGGCAGATGTACTGAAATACACTGCTGAGGAGAGCAGCGGGTAGGTCAGGAGAGGTCTGCGGTGCCATGTGGGTCACATCCCTGGCCGGGGATCAAACTCCGTGCTGCAGTGGCTGCAGTACCATCATAGTGACGTGCTTTAAATCTGTTGTGCCACCAGGGAATGTCTGACATCAGCCTCCTTCTGTCTTGAAATGTGTGTCAGGGTGAAAAGCAACTACACTGAAGCTGTATTGAGACAGCTGGGAAGGAGTGAAGGATAAATCCAAATATTGCTGTGCTGAGGTTAAAATTTTTTTAGACATTTCACTCCCAGTTTTTCAGTGTATTATGGTGTCTTTTAATCCATCAGATGTGCAGGAAGCTTTTATATATTCTATATTTTCCCTTTTAATTTTCTTGGTGTTTTTCTTCCCTCCTCCGGGGTGTAACGTTTACACGTACAGATGTCTCCTCGCTCTGCCCGGCGACGTTGGTCCATACAAGCAATTAACGACTTCCCGGTACTGTGTGCTGTCCAAATGCTCTCCTTGACTAATCCTGTCTCTGCCAAAGGCCCAAGAATAAAATGCCACCTGCCTGGCTTTGAGGAACCTGAAATTTCAGGCTGGCTGGTTTTCTGGACCAGCAACAGCGAATTTTTCACTTGGGAGTCAGGCACCAAGCACTGACGTGTTCAGTCATGGGCTTTCAAATGGGGAAAACAGACCCTTACGTATTATGAATGGAGTCCTTTGAAAATGAAGCTAAAAACCAGGCTTTTTGGAAAGAACCTCAGTTGTAACCCTTTAATTCACCTGATTTCACTTGGACCACTGGTGTAATAGTACTTTCAAAAGTCTACCTATGGCTTGGCGGGGGAAGCAGAGGAAGATACAAGAGACTTCCACAATTTATCCTTGTTTTTATTGTCTTCATTTAGTTCAATGAGGGAAGCACCCATCTGCTTCATTGGCATGACGCATAAGCTAGTTTTTAATACTTGAAGAACTTTCTGGAACATATTTTTTCCTCACCATTACAATTTTGTGTTGGCAATAAAACCTCCACTTGTGGATGTTCCCTCTTCCTTTTCTTTCTTTCTTCCTCACTCCTATTGGCCATCTCCCTTCTTCTGTCTTCCTCTCCCACCCCCTTCATGTTTCAGTAGTGCCAAGGTAACCTCAGGCTGTGCAGGCAGTCTTGAGGCATTTATGTAAATTTCATTTGGTATAAAATAATACTGAGGCAATAGTAGACCTTAATTTAGCCTTTTAGTGTAAAAACCAGTTGAAATCGGGAACCCTGATTAGCAAATACCACCGCTGCCAGTTCCTTGCAGGAGGAGCTGCTAACGTGAGGGGCTTTTATCTCCTCAAAAAGCCCGTCCCGGCCAACTTTACTGCTGAATTGCCACTGAATTTCCAGAATTCTCTGCTCCTACTGCTGTTTAAATAGGAACTCACTTTAACTCACTGCCCACTCTGCTGATTATGCATTGTTCACGGGTTTGCTGCGAAGCAGTTGGTGGCTTATTCTTGGGCTGTTTTTACATTTAACCCCATTTTTTTGGCCTTGATGTTGCCTCCTATTGTAGCAGTAACACTGGTGGTACAGTTGCAAGCTGGCTATTGGTTGTCTTTCAGTGCTATTTGCACCAGTGCCTCCTTCCCTTCCTGCCTCCCTACCCTACCCCACCCCACTCCTTTCGTCCTGGTCCTCTTTTCTGTCACTCATGAACACCTCCTTGGTATGTTCAGAGGAGCTTCCTGGTGCTCATCATGTAATAATTTGTCTGTCTTGCTTTGTCTCTTTTCCCTCTACACCTGCTCATGAAGTATGTGGGGAAGAGGCATTTTCTATTGATGGGGCATTGAGAAGACCTATGAGAAATGCAGAGGCCTTTGGCCTTCCAGATATACTGATTTTACAGCACAGAAAAGTATCTGTATTTAAGCCCATCAGAGTGGGACTGGAGCAGTGCAGGAGGTTAAAGGGGCTTTTTGGCCATAGTGCCTACCTCCACCGCAGGAAGATTAGCTACACCCCAGCCTGGTGTGTCTTTGTTCTCTGCATGCTGTCTCTTGACTGTTGACAGATCAGAGACTCCTGAAACTGGCTGCAGGGCATTAAGGGAAAAAGAAATCGTGGGAAAATGTGGATGGAACCCTTTCATTGCCAAAGGATTGGAAAAAACACTCTGAAAAATTGTCCATGTTATTTAGGGTGCAACAAGGACTAAAGGCCCCAACATCTGATTTGAGATTTAGTATATCTTATTTAGGCTGCCTGGTTTTATTCAGTCCCAGATAATAATTGAATATTCACTAGACAGGATTACTGACTGATCCCTATATGTTGGAGAGGAGATACTTCATATTTAAAAACTATCAACCAACAAATATTAAAAAAGCAAAACCATCCAACAATTATTTTGTGACTCCTCAAAGATTTTTGATAATGTTCTGCAGTAAGTCCTTGCTGGATTAAATAAATGAATATTGCTCTCCCATAATTGTTTTTTATAGTTTACCCTTGGTAGCAGCTATGACTAGGGCGAGCCTGTATTGAGAATCACCTAGGCTCAAAGGCAACTTAATGAGTTCTATAAAATGCTGCTTTTATATCAGTATTGATGAGCCAGAGAAACACCCAGGAACCTGGTATTTCAAGAAGTTGACCAGGAAGTCCCAGCAACAGACCGATTTCTACAGTTTAGTGGAGGATAATTGCAAAAACTTGTCCAAACCCTCTTAAAAAATTTATTTATTTATACAGAACTGGAATTAAGCTAGAGGTGAGAGGCTTCACCAGAGACAGAGTAGGGAGCAGAACAGGCAGACTGACCAAGTACACTGCTGAGGGGAGCAGCGAGCAGGTCAGGAGAGGTCTGCCTCACCATGTGGTCACCTCTGGGGCCGGAGATTGAACTTGCACTGAAGTAGATGCGGCCAGCTTGCAGTGCTGCATCCTAATGCATTGGGCCACCAGGGAGGGCCGTCCAAACCCTCCTATCTTTACATTCTCATCAGGTATTTATTGATGGCTTCCATTGCTCCATATGACCCAGGACTGCCCACAGGGGAAAAGTTCTAAGTAGTTTTCTTCTGAATGTACTGAATCCTGTAACTCCGGAAAGGAGGCAACACTAGGTATAAGCTCTTGCGCCCGGCCTGACTTAGAGCAGCTGGTCTGAGCCTGGGTCTGAGTGGGAAGCCAGGCAGCACCTTGAGCTGCCTCTGGCACTGGTCTGCACATTGCCCCGGCTGGAGTGAGACGCAGACCCCTGTGTACTGAGGAAGCGCCTCTGAAGTGAGTCACAGTGGAGGAAGGTATGTCAGATAGTCCTCACTGCGATCAGATACTGTTCTCCTTACATGCAGAAGTGGAGTCATCTAAACATGGACAAAACAATTTACATATTTACAGTAGCTAGCTTAAGTCAACACTTTTTTTTTTCCCTTTATAAAATTATATACTTGAACACAGGTTAACAGATATGGGCTTAGCTGCCTGGCAGCCTGTGTTCATATCTTGGCTCTTACATCTGTAGCTTTGAGCAAGTCTTTCATCCTCATTTGCAAGGTGGAGACAACTACTCTCCTTCAGCCACCCTCGCAAGCTCTGACAGGGCTCACACAGTAAAATGTTCACATCAGCACCAGTGCTTTTAAGAATAAGACAAGTCTTAAATCCTAAGGAAGATGTCTGTATGCTTGGACTTGTGTCCAGGACATCTCTTATTTTCCACATATGGCCAGTCATAGGCCAGCCTCTGAGGAAATGGGTTGTTGCTCGGATCTTCCACATCCATTCCCAGATCACTCTGTTGAAGCATTTTTGACATTTTCAAATGGTCACTTTCAGTCTCCCCCTCTGCCAGCCAACCCCCCACCAGCAAAAAGGTCCAAAAGGGCCTTCCATCCATATGCAGTCTCTATTCCACACTGCCTCTAGGAAATACCTGGGTTCCCCACACTGTCTCCTACTGTAGCAGTCATTCTCCATCTCCCTCATCTTCTCACTTGTGGTGTGAAGGGTGTGAAGGGTCTTTTAAGATTATTTTAAACCAGGAAAAAGAAAAAAACTGTCAAGCCTGCTGGGAAAAACATTTTCAAATGAGCTTGTCTGTTGCAAATGAACCACTTTTGGCACATGGTTAATATAATTTCATAGGACTGCTTAGAGAGTCAGGGGATCTTGCTGGGTGTCAGTGTGTCTGAAAGCTGGTAGACCCCATCCCTCATGAGCCCTCGCTGTCTATCCACTGATCAGTTGAGTGGGGCTATCGTGAAATGCTCCATTGCTCGTGTGCTGCTCATTTTCTTGGTAAGAAGGAGCCCACGTGACTCTCTGGAACATTGCTTCAGACATCTCTGGAACAGTGCTTTAGATACCTTCCAACCAACACAGATATTTTACTCCACTCCAGGTGGCATCATTTTGGTAGAACTTTTCATTTCCCCCACACTAAATCTCATCTCAGATGACCTATTAAGTGGGACCTATGGGTGTGTCCTCTCCTAGGATTTTCTCTCACAAGTTCCTGGAAACCTGGGTGAAAATTAATGAAATGAGTTTGTGCACTTATATGCTCCCTGTTGCAGTTAACCACATTATGCTGTTCTTGACACTGTTGAGTAGATGTTCTCCACATCACCCTACCTAAAACCAGTCACACCATAGTACCTCGTGCGTGCGCAACCACATCGCTCTTCATTGCTTACACTGCCTGGCTCCAGCCCCGTCTGATGGGTTGTTTGCTTTTTACATAGTCTCCCCTTACTTAAACCCACATGAGGCTGTTCATTTTTGTGAACATGCACGCTGTTCTTTAGAAAATAGCCAGGGCTAGTAGAGATTTGAAGAGCTACCCATAATCAATTATTAATCTTCCTCATGTAATTACAGAATAATAACATTGTGTGGATAAATAGTGACTGAAATGCTTCCTGTGATCAAATGGTTTAAGGTTCCAAATTGACAGTGTAGCAAACATATTTACAAATGATGATGGGCAATTCAGATACTTCACCAAACTTCTTTAGTTATCCTACAACTGTCCTGAATTTAGTGGGTTCCATAACACTGAATCCTTCCATAGGAAGCTACGTGCATCAGGCCACTTTGGGGCGCAAATAGGGTAGCACATCAATATAGAAATGCCTCAATAGAGACAATCACTATTTATGGAAGAGCAATTGTATAACTTGTGGAAAATGAATTTATTGGTGACTGATCTAAATAATGATCTAATCTAAATTCCTGCAAGTTTGTCTATGTTCATAATAATTATAAATTTTAAATCGCACCTTTCAGTTTACATGGTGCACACACTCACCTTTTAAGTGAACTCTTGTTAACCTTGCGAGAATGGAACAACAGTACTCAGCGTGAGCCACAGTTTACAGTGAACAATGTGAGACTAAATTCACAGCAAGTAAGTAGCTAGTGCAGGATCACACTGAGCCAATTCATGTCATGGGCCCACGAAGCCAGCGTCTTCTGACTCAGAATTGTAGGCCTTTCATAATTCGTCTGTTAATAAATATGTCACTTCCCTCCTAGTTGAATTACTTTGGTTTCCCCCTTTTTTAACTTCTGACAATAAAATGAAAAAGAACACTAGTCTGTGACTGGTTATCCTTTGAAACATACCAGACATACCAGTGGGCTACCCACTACACGTTCTCCTTTTCCAGGACATCTTCTTCCCTTTCCCACATATGAGCTCCTCTGTACCCGTTTGTAGATAAGACTCTGTCTGGGGAAATCGGGTAATTGCTCAGATTTCCCAAGCTCATTCCTCAGCTTCTGCTCAAGTGTTATTGACATTCTAAAATGATCACTTCCAGAAATCATTCAGGTCTATGAGGAAAAGCAGAGTAATTCTTGAGTTGCTAGATGTCTGTCTGCTTACCGTAGGTTAAGATTTGCAGAGCCCACACTGCTGTGTCTGAATTAAATTTTCAACAAATTTTATTAAGACTGTTTGAGAAGAGAAAAATACTAATTAGTTTCAAGCAAGAACTTTGAACTTGGGACTGAACCCAACCTTAAAAGTTGCTCTTCTCCCACATTTTTGTAGTCTTTACTAACTTTTTTACCTGCTGTTCTTTCTCCCTTTATTTTTTTTAAATTCTGGCTTCAAGGTACTATTTTTGAGCACCTGCAGAATGTAGATAACCCTGTAGTAGGTGCTTATTTTCCTATTAGGATTTTGGACCAAGAACTCAATACCCTTTGTCATCTTTTTATTTCCTACAGATGCTGATTCATGTAATTGTGGGTATGATGTAGCAAAGTCTCTGCAAATTACCAGTGACCCAACCTGATGTGCTCTGCAACTGCAGGTTTGCGTTCATCAGTTCCCATTACTTATATTTTCTCATCTCCCCCAGAAATCAAGGAGATGGAAAAGTAAGCGCGAGGGATCGGACTCTGGCAATCGACCAATCAAGGCTGCGGGAAAGGTCATCATCCAGGACATCGCATGCCTTCTTCCTGTTCACAAGTCGCTAGGAGAACTCTACATGTAAGCTCAGGCTCTCATGTATGCCATCTCATCCCTTAGTCATGATTATAAAACCTTTTCTTCAGAAGTGTTTTCAGGAGATGCCCAGTGAATTAGCTGCATAGCAGATTACTATTGATTTAGTGACCTAAAACAACATGCATTTATTAACTCACCATTTCCATGGTCTGCCTTGGGGTTAGCCTCAAGTCTCACTAACATGGGCAGTAGTATCATCTCATGCTTGCTTAAGGTTTGTTTCTTTCAGGTTGTTAGCATAGTTCAGTCCCTTGCAACTATAGAAAATTCCATTATCTTGGAGACTTGCAGTCTGTCTTACTGACACCTTACCTGCTTCCTAAGGCCTCACCTGTTTAGGTCAGGCAACCCAGGAAAATCTCCCTGTTGACCAATTCAGTTGACTCACAAAGAACCTAATCATAGGAGTCATACATAACTCATCAGTATTTACTGACCTTGCCCAAGTATGTAAAAGGAAAAGTTTATACAAGATTCATGGAGCAGGGGGCAGAAATCTTGGGAACAGTCTGAATTTTGCTTTTCACACCTCATAAGTAAAACAGATAAGCAGAAGCACTCTGGCTGAGAGTATGGGGAGGTGAATGACAGCCCCCTAGGCTTGCCTGTGGCTCCTCAGCATATTACTCTTTGTAATGGAAGCTCTAGTTTTGCACATCTTTAAATTTATTTTAATTCGATTCCCAAGCCTTGGGAACTCCAAAGGAAAACTGGTTGACAAATCACTGTTCCTTGGGTCTCCATCTCCTCCTGACTCAGTGGTGAGTGATTGCATCCTTCCCAGGCGTGGTCCATTGCCCAACATAGCCCTACTTAAGCTTTTTCTCTGAGTTACCTGGAAGGACGCTTAAAGCCAGCAGGAATAACACATTACACATGGCAGCCAGAAGCAATTTTTAATCTGTTTGTTAAAGTGGAAGTCATTGATTAGGAAGTCAGACTAAAATGAAACTTCTTTATTTTCTTTTAAACTTAAGATTGAATGTGAATGATATTCAAGAAACGTGTCAGAAGAATGCAACTTCTGCCTTGCTTGTTGGAAGGAAGGATCTTGTCCAGGTATTGTCCATTCTTTTTGCTGGAGATCTGGATTTTTTTTTTTTTGAACAGGTTATTTTATAGTTGTGGCTTAGTGACATTTCACAGTGTGCCTCCTCTTCTGTAATTCTGCCCCCATTTTCTGGCCAAACTCAAGGACTAGAGCAGCTTTCAGAATCCTGTGGATGTTTTTCCTACTAGTACTTAATTGAAAATGTCCCAAAGCATTTACTGTGGTTTATTTTTTAAATCATATCTATTCTAGGACCTCAGTTTACACACCTAAATTTGGTTGTCTGTATCCTTGCCATTTGCACTCTCAGTTCTGTTTTGTTTTCACTTTTAAAAAAGCTTCATTTTGTATAGGTTTATCTATCAATACTAAAGTGTTTCTTTACCCGGGAGCATATTCACTTCTAAATCATGATATAATCTTACAAAAACCTAACTTCCCTTCAGTTTGGCAAGGACACATCACTGTATTAAAACGACAGCTGTACTGAGATATAATTGTTTTGACTTCATTGAATTAACATTTGCTAAGTGGAGGTCCGAAATGTCAGCTGATGAGCTGTGCTTCAGCAAAAGACCACAGGGGAGTTGCTACAGAGACGCCCATTACTTGCTCGTCCGGAAGGAGGGGCCACATGGGTGGCTAAGTACAGGCTACAGGTAGAGAGGAAGACAGGATCTGGGCACAGGTCAGGAGCTGGGGGTGCAGACTGTGGGGTTCTCAGGCCAAGGCTGGACTAGTCAATTCAAAATCAGTTTTATTACGCTCTGTTTGAGTAGTCTGAAAATAAGAGAGGGGCCCAGGGGAAGGACCCTGGGCAGCAGAGCAGAAACAAGAGCTAGAAAAGTCTATCAGGAAATTAGATTCACTTTTTGACTCTAGGGGTTGTTATATCAGGCATGTGTTTACACAAGGAGCTAATGGCAGTGTGAGGTTACTTGGCAAAGCAGGGTACCAGGATGGCAACACCATGGGACACTTTGGTAAATGCGATAGTAATCCATGTACTATGCCACTCAACCTTTTAAGATGTACCATTTAATGACTTTTCGTGTAGTCACTACATGGAGCTTTACAACCATCACTACAGGAAATTTTAGAATAATTCCATTACCCCAACAGATAACCCACATCCCTTAGCTGTTATCTCTAAATTTCCTCTTCAGTCCTAGACTACCACTACTTACTCTCATATCTCTGTGTACCTTCTACTCTTAGTGTGTTAGATTGACTAATGGAAATACCTAGCTATTATTTTACCAGTTTTTGTTCCTTTATATTCCTACAGATGACCCAAAGCAAAGGTCATCCCTTAATTTTTAAAAATCTCTATAATTTCCATTGCTTTCTAATAAACACTGTCAAGTTTCTGCCCCAGATTTTTAAAATTAATTTATGCACACAAGAACTAGGGTAAAGGCCAGAGGTACAGGGGGTGAGAGGATCTACCAGAAACAGAGTGGGAACAGAACAAACATGATCTACTCAACTGCACTGCCAAGGAGAACAGTGGGTGAGATAGGAGAGATCTATCATGCAGTGGCTGGCGATAGCTTGATAGTGCTAAGACTTAACCCCTTGTACCCAGCAGACCCTGCCTCAGACTTTTATTTTAAAAGATTTATTTATTTATGCATATAGAACTGGAGTACAGGCCAGAGGTGCAGGGGCTGTGAGAGGATTCACCAGAGACAGAGTGGGGAGCAGAACAGGCCAACTGACGAAGTACACTGCTGAGGGGAGCAGTGGGCAGGTCGGGAGAGGTCTGCCGCACCATGTGGGTCACCTCCAGGGCGGGGATCGAACTCATGCTAAAGTGGCTTTAGCTTCTTAGTGCTGTGCATTAACCTACTGCGCCATCAGGGAGGGCCCACAGATTTTTTTTTTCCCCACAGACTTTTTAAGGTAAAATTTAAAGTCATGAATTGAATCTATTTCTATAATGATAAACCACTTAAAATCTTAAGAAGACAAGAAATAGTAGAAACAATGTAGAACTTATAAAGAGAGGTATAGATCCAACTGGGCTCCCTATTGGTGCCAATTAGCAAATTATTTCAGATTCTCTCAGCCTCTATATTTGTAAAATAGAACCATAAAAATTATTACTTTATAGGGTTGGTAAGAAGACTAGTAAATGCAATCTTAATGCAGAGACAAGGCTCATGTTTTGAAAACATTTTGAGAGGAAAAATTATTTCCTAATGTGGTTTTCTATTTCATTTTGTTTTTAAGTTTCCAGTATTTTTCTGGCAGAGTTGATTTGGAAGGTCAGGCTCTGTGAATGAAGTGCAGTGAACCTCCCCATGGGTTCAGACCATTTTAAATCTGGGCTCCATCACTTTTTTGTTGAATGAGTCAAGGCAGCTACCCACCCAATCTTCCTATACTTCTGTTTCCTTGGTCATAAAATAAGAACAGTACTTCTAAGTTCTTATTTATATAGATATAAAATTTTCACATCTGTACCTGATAGATGGCATATACCCAAGATATGGCACAATTATTGCTGCTGTTCTTGAAGTTCCCATCTTTGGTGGGATGGTACTACATATCTGGCATGAACAGGTATGATCATATTCCTCTTTATGCCCGTGTCGAAGATGTTATGTGTACTATTTTTGCAAAGAGCTGCAGAAATAAACCTAAGTGTCAGCACTTCTGTTCAAGGCACTTAAGTGTGTATTCTACGTGGTGTTAACTGGCCTAAGTCATCAGCTAGGATGAAAACATTCTTTGCTAACTCAGAAAAACATTCTTTGCTACCTCAGAAAGCAAAGCCCCATCAATTTTTTTTCTTGACTATTCAAGTGGGTCATTGATTACAGAGATGAATTTAAACCTCAAGTTGTTTCTCATTTTAACCCATACTTGAGGATTGTTTACAGTATAATTTGATTGATTATATATGTGTGTGTGTATATTGATTATATATACATATATATATACACACTTAACGTTTCTCAGTATTTTTATTTGCTTATCCTTTTTCTTAAATTATTCACTCCTTGATTCAAAATTTGTATCTTCTTCCTTCATGTTTCTCATAGAGTATCTAGTATTATGTTTTCCACTTAGTGGGCAGACAATGATGTGTGGCTATTAAGCAACATTTTCCAAATGTAGAATCCATATTTAAAGGTATGGAGGGTGGATTGTTGGGGACTTTTTTTTTTTTTTAAGATTTATTTATTTATTTGTGCATACAGAACTGGGGTGCATGCCAGAGGCCCAGGGGCGGTGAGAGGCTTCACCAGAGACAGAGTGGGGAAAAGAACAGGCAGATTGACAAAGTACACTGCTGAGGGGAGCAGCGGGCGGGTCAGGAGAGGTCTGCCACGCCATGTGGCCACCTACAGGGCAGGTGGGAATCAAACTCATGCAGAAGCGGCTCTAGATTCTCAGTGCTGTGCTTTAACCCGCTGCGCCACCAGGGAGGGCCCATTGTTGGGGACTTTTTGATGGAATGACATATTTAGGATGTTCTAACTCTCAAAATTAATAAATCCGTGATGGACATTAGCTTTTTGCTTAAAAAGTCTAATAACACCTTGAAATTTCAGATTTGGAGATAATCCTCATATTTGGTGTGAACAAAAAGAAAACCAAGTATTTTTTGTCTTATCCTATTTTTTTTAACTCAAAGAGTATACTATAAAGACTTTTGTAAAGAAGGTGACAAAATTTTTTTTACTATTGGGACCACAAAAGGCAGGTCTTAAATCTGTCAATTCCCTAGTGAAGCAGCAGAAAAAGTCACATGAATTAGTGGTTAAACAGACAACTCATTGAAGTGATTGCTTGATACCATTTATTTTACGTTTCCCTAAGAAAAATGTTTAATCCAGTATTTCTCAAACATGACAGTGTGAATAAATCTCCTGTGATGTTTGTTAAAATACAGATTCTGATTCAGCAGATCTACAGTGGGGCCTGCAACTCTGCATTTCAGTAAGCTTTTGCAGCAAGACTCTAGGCTGAGTTTGGTGAATTGTGATTCCTTCATGGTTCTGGTTCCTGTACTCACCAGTCTGAGTTACTGTTTCTCTTTGATCTGTCCAGGTTTGGTCGCTGGCTACTGTAGCCACAGATCTGTGCCTTGGTCCAAAGTCTGACCCAGATTTGGAAACACCCTGGGCTCGACATCCATTTGGACGACAGCTGCTGGAGTCCCTGTAGGTTTTGAGAGCTAAAAGTGAGGAAAAGGAGTGATGTAAATTTTAGGTCTATTAACACTTTCAATGTTATTGTCTAAGAGAAAAACACAGAGGTCTGAGGAATGAGAGGAAGAAGTGAGACCTTTATACTTCCATGTAGAACTGACTTCTTAAAGCAGAAGAAACTCTATAATATTTATTTATAAAAGGATTTGAAGATTTAGTGTCCTTAGAGATTTATGCTTAGTCCATAAATCATATTAGTGTGAACAGAGGAGTTTGAGCTCTTGAGAATGGCAGATTTGTTTGGATGCTTTAGAATCTGGCCCCTAAGAGCAGATTAGAGAGTTGTGTGTTGATTTTCATGTTTTCCAAAGGCTTTGGTACTTTCATCCTGTTAGTATTTTATGAAAACATTAAATTTGGGTTTGAGTTATTGCACTGAAATATGCCTACTAGAATATAATATGCAAAATGATTTATCAAGCAGACAGAACCACCCATATCTCCACAATAAGGCCCTGGTACTGATGTAGAGTAGTGGAGGTTTATTTTACCTCTTGTGACATATGCTTACACTTCATGGTAACAGAGGGAACAATGCTTGTTCTAACAGCTTCACATAAGGCTCCACTAAGACAGTGAGCATGAAAACATTTTAAAAAAGACATTGCTTGGAAGAAAGCATTGATATTATCTGTCACAAAGGCAAAATCCCTCTGATCCCTGTGTCACATTGTGGCCTAGTCCTGAGAAGAGGAAAAGGGAAATGAATACCTAAAAGTAAAAATATTCCTTCTTATTTAATAGCTAATGTCCAGAATCTGTTACCTGCTCACTCTACAGTGGTAGTGTAAGATTCCCAAAGGGCTTTCACACAGCTTGCGTTCTATGAGTAAAGTATGTAGGATCTCCCAGAAAGCATTGTCCTTTTTCCTTGGAAGTGAGGAGACTGAGATCAAGTGTAGATCATGCATAGCACTTGGATGGTAATTTAGTCTGCTTAGTTCTTGGAGAAGTCTCTGACCCAGGCCCTCTGGCCCATGCCAGTTGTGAAGGTTCCCCTTCTTCTATCTGTTCTCTTGACTTTTCTTTATCCTGATCTTCTTTTTCAGGTTGGCTCATTACTGCCGACTCCGGGATGTCCAAACATTGGCTATGCTCTGCAGTGTATTTGAAGCCCAGTCTAGGCCTCAGGGAGTCCCAAATCCCTTTGGGCCCTTCCCCAGCCGATCATCCAACCTTGTGGTGTCCCACAGTCGATATGTAAGCTTCTGCTTTTTTGGCTCATGTCTGATTTTTCCTAATGGTAAACTTTCTGATGCTATTCTTGTCTGTTCTGCAGCCTAGCTTTACTTCCTCTGGTTCCTGTTCCAGCATGTCAGACCCAGGGCTCAACAGCGGTGGCTGGAACATAGGTTAGTATGGAACTGACTTACCCAAGGCTGAGTCTCTAGTACAATCTTTAGTCCATGACAGTTCTCCATACTTTTCTTGGTTCTCAGTACTCTTGAATTTAGTATCATGGGAATGCTACAGCCAGCACAGCTGGACTTTGATTTTTGAACAGGTCAGATTCTGAAAGGCCTTCATGCCTTGCTGGGTTTCTTTTTATTTCACAATCTTGAAAACTTGACAGTAGGAATCCCCACTGTTCACCACTAAAACCTAACCCATAACCTTTCTCCTTCACACTCCCCTCACACAATCATCTGTTTCTTTCCATGTACTACTTTCAGTGTAGAGAAATAAGACTGAACCTGACTCCACATGGCCATAGTGTCTGTTTAATGAATAGGTATATTTGTGTTTTCTGAATTTTTACATTTTCTTTTAAAAATCATCTTAATTTTCTTTTAATTGTTTTTTGTATCCAAATTATGTTTATCTGGATGGTTTCCCATTCATATTAATTTGGGATGCTTTTAGTGTTACTTGCATCTGAAGAAGCATCCTTCTGTGTACCTTGCTTTTCCTCCTTTAGACTGGTAGAAGACAGTGGAGCAGCTAATCCATAAAACCATAGTTTGTGTATAGCCAAACATGGTGGTGATATTATAGCATTTCACATCCATGAAGTGTTTTCTTTTCCTGAAGATAAAGGAGAACCTTTACAAGAGTCATGTTCTATGGAGATTGTCACCACTGGAAATGCTTAATCTTGAATATAAAAGTAATGCGCCGGCCCTCCCTGGTGTGCAGCGGGTTAAAGCACAGCACTAAGAAGCTAAAGCCACTTCTGCATGAGTTCTATTCCTGCCTGCCCCGGAGGTGACCACATGGCGTGGCAGACCTCTCCTGACCCGCCCGCTACTCCCCTCAGCAGTGTACTTTGTTGATCTGCCTGTTCTGCTCCCCACTCTGTCTCTCACCCTCTGCATCTCAGGCCTGTATCCCAGTTCTGTGTGAATAAATAAATAAATGTTTATTTAAAAAAAATAAAAATGCATGCCTAGTAACAAAAACAAGCAAAAATATTAGAGAAGAAAGTTAAGGCTCCTCCCACCTAGAAATGACATCTACTAATGTTCTGATCATTTTCTTCCAATCTTTGTGCTAGTGGGTAAGGATATTCTAAATATTTCTGATTTTATGCTCTATTTTTAATGTTGTCATGAACAGTCTCATGTTATTTAAAATGTCTTTTTAAGTAATGACTAATTAATATTCTACTGTATCACTAGTAGTCATTATGTGTGTAGTTATTGGCAAGTCACTTTAATAAATACCTATACAAAAAGTTAAGGCAAGGAAGCAGTTCTGTTTATTTTTATTACTAGGGTCTTCAACCTAGCCTATTTTCTTCCAGAAAATAAATTGGACACACACTGGATTGTTAAGAGTTTTAAGATGTTCCTGTCTCTTCTCTGAAAGTTCCCATTTCCCCTTCTCATTTCATTTTCTACAGCGGGAAGAGAAACAGAACATATATCTTCACCTTGGGGAGAGTCTTCACCAGAGGAAATCCGCTTTGGGAGTCTGACCTATAATGATCCTCGTGAGCGAGAACGTGACCTGCATGATAAAAATAAAAGGTAATAACCTTGATCTCCCCAGGTCCTACAGCACTTTTATAACACTTAGGTTCTCCAAATTAAGGACTTTTGCTTCAAGACAAATATACTAAGTGCCATCTGGTATGTAGGTCATTTTTTCTTAAGGGAACTAACAGGAAATCTTTTGGAATTTCATTTAGACTTCTGGACCCTGCCAACACCCAGCAATTTGATGACTTTAAGAAATGCTATGGTGAAATCCTCTATCGCTGGGGTCTGAGAGAAAAACGAGCAGAAGTGCTGAAGTTTGTTTCCTGTCCTCCTGACCCTCACAAAGGGATTGGTGAATATGACTTTCTTCCTTTTTCTATCACTGTGAAAAGTCCTATAATTTGTTTTGCTAGTACATAAGGCTTGGAATGAAATGTTTATTTTTTTTATTTAATTGAGGTTACATTGGTTTGCAACATTGTTTGTATTTTAGAAATAGGATCTCTCCCTTTGGGTGTTGTTACTACACCACCCCCACCACGTAAGTGCCTAGTGACCACCAGAATAGTTCGTTGTGCCCCCTCCCACTCCAGACACAGTTCTAGTCAGATTTCTAGGGTTTGTCATTAGTTCGGCTTTATCTAACCCTTTGTTTGGTTTGTTTATATTCTGCATACAAGTAACACCATCTAGTATTTATATCTTTCTTCTAACTTAATTCACTTAATAAAATTCCTTCTACTTTCATTCATGTTATTGCAAATGGCAAGAGTTTATCTTTTTAATAGCTGAATAATATTCTGTTGAATGTGTATACCATATCTTCACAATATACTCATCTGTTTTGGGGGTATTTAGGTTGTTTCCATGCCTTGGCAGTTTTAAATAGTGATGTAATGAATATAGCAGTATTTATTTCCCTTCAAATTAATATTCAGGTAGATACCAAAAAGTGGAATTGCTGGGTCATGTGCTAGACACATTTTTAATATTTTAAGAAGCCTCCTTACTATTTTTCCACAGGGGCTAGACCAGTCTACATTCCAACCAATAGTGTAAAAAGATTCCTTTTTCTCTACATTCTCATCAGTATTTGTTGTTTCTGGTCTTTTTCACATGGGCCATTCTCACAGTTGTAAGGTTGTATATTGTGGTTTTGTTTTGATTTGCATTTCCCTCATAAAAAAGTGATGATGAGTATTTTTTCATGTGCCTTGGCTGACCATCCAAGTTTATTTAGCTTTTCTGCCCATTTTTGGTCAGGTTATTTGTTTTCTTTTTGTTCAGTTGTATGAGCTCTTTGTAGATATTAGTTATCAGCTTGTTGTTAAATGTGACGTGCAAATATATTTTCCCATTCAATTGAGTGTCTTTTGGCTTTAGGGACAGTTTCTTTTGCTCTCATAAGTTTTTTAGTTTGATTCAGTACCATTTGTTTTTCTTGTTATTGGAGACGAATCCACAAAGACATCTCTGAAGCCTATATTGTGGCATGTTTTGCCTATGTTTTCTTTTGTGCCCTTTATGATTTGAGATCTTACATCTAAACCTTAATCCATTTTGAGTTGCTTTTTTGTAAGGTATAAGATAGTGTTCTCGTTTTATTCTTTTGCACGTGACTGTGATTTTGCCAATGCTATTTATTGAAGAGGTTTTCCTTTCTCCAATGTATTTTCCTTTTTTTTTTAATATTTTTTACATCATTTTTCATTTTGTTCATTTTTTCATCTCAGTTGTAATGGGCTTCCCACCACCAATTCGCCCATGTGCCATTACCATAGTCCAGTGTACTCTTCCCACCCCAGTTCTGATCCCTTTCCCTTCCTACCCCCATAAAATGTCTCTGGTTTATAGTTGTTCATTGTTTTCATTTTTACTCTATTACATTTGTTTCTCTCTCCCTCCGCTCCCTACCCCCATCCCTTATGCTCCTGCTATGAGTGAAACCATCTGGTATTTTTCTTTTTTCTTTCTGGCTTATTTCACTAAACGTGATCCCTTCCATCTCCATTCATGTTGCTGCAAAAGGCATGAGTTTATCCTTTTTGATTGCTGAGTATTATTTCACATGTATATGTACCACCTCTTTGTAACCCAGTCATCTGTTTTTGGACATTTGAGTTGATTCCATATCTTCCCTATTGTAAATAGTGCAACAATAAACATAGGGGTGCAGGTGTCCTTTTAAGTCAATGTTTTTGTGTCCTTTGGGTAGATACCTAGGAGTGGAATTGCTGGGTCATATGGAAGCTCTATTTTTAGCCTTTTGAGAAACTTCCAAGCAGCTTTGCATAGTGGTTATATCAGCTTGCATTCCTACTAGCAGTGCAGGAGAGTTCCTTTTTCTCCACATCCTTGCCAACATTACTTGTTGCTAGTTGTTTTAATATGTGCTATTCTCACTGGTGCGAGATGCTATCTCATTGTGGTTTTTTTTTTTTTAAAGATTTATTTATTTGTGCATACAGAGCTGGGGTACAGACCAGAGGCTCAGGGGCGGTGAGAGGCTTCACCAGAGACAGAGCGGGGAACAGAACAGGCAGAGAGCCGAAGTA